TATTTATTTATTTATTTATTTATTCAAAGATTGTATGTGTGTGTTCAACATTCAATTTATTTATCCGGGAAATAAAACTTGATTATTAACAAGATGATTTTGCTTAGTTGCTTCATTCAATGAATATTATAGTCAGAATTGTGTTACCAAGCTTCATTTAATGAATCACTATCTATCTATCTATATATATGTAATATAATAGTTATTATTTCAAATGAAATAAACAATAATGGATTCATTGAAAGACCCTTTGAAACACATTGCATACATACATATTTGATACAACTTTTGTTTACTGGGGAAAATAATAATGATTATACTATTTATTATTTTTATTTGTGAAGCATGCAATTGAAATAAATGCTTTTAATGGTGTTATCACTTGTACCCTTTACCCCTTATAATGCAAGGATACTACAAATTAGAGAACAATGAATTATCGATTGGATTAATGAGACATAAAACCCGTACGAGAAGTTTAGAGTTCTTATCGGTCCTGCTTCTTGTCTAGCTCAGCTAGTTAAGTCCGGAACATCAATCTCAGTCACTGCGATATCAATCATGTATTTCAAATATACCAGGTTTATATACCAATCAGACAGACCATATCGTGCCAGAAAATACAGAAAATACACATTTGTACAAGATTTAGCCAAAAGTGGCTGTGAATGTGGGAGACTGTAATTGATAGATTGGGTATAATTCAAGAATAGCAAATCGTATAATAATACTTTATAGGTTAAAATGAAGCTTATGATAAGAGGGACATGAATATGAATGGTTTAGTTATATAACAATTATACGATAAACATATACCTATAGTATTCGTCCATGAATGTCACCACCATCTTTAAAAAGAGCCGGAGGTAAGTCATCTGGGCCAGGTGATTTGTAACGCTTCAAGAGTTGGAGTTCCTTGCGGACTTCCTCCTCATTTGGTGAACCAGTCGTCACCAGCCATCGAGTGCAGGACAATCTGACCGATGTTGCCGGAGCAGCAGGCCAGTTGAACTGCCCTTCGAAAAATTCTACCCATCGTCCAAGACATCGATGGATGTTAGTGATTGGCATCCCATCATCCTCGCAGATTGTTTCGCTCACGCCAGACTTCTTGCTGCCAGTGGCTTGTATGAGTTGGAAGAGCTTCCGGTAATTCGCAGATGTAGCTGCTGCTTCCAGCTCATTAGCACGCTTCGACCACCAGGCTTCTCGGTTCTTACGCAAGCTTTTCCCTATTTCATTACGTAACATCCTTCGTTTGTGATCAAACTCACGGTCACTCGGAGTAGACCGACGGGCTTAAATGAGTTGTAAGGAACGAGAAGAAACCCAGTGCTTGTAAGCGGGACGTTTCGCGAACCCACAACTGACTGTACCCGCCATTTACATTAAGTCATGCAATTGCAACCAATGCTCATCCATACTTTTCGGTGGAATGGTAGCTAGCCTAGAAACTAACTCGGTTCGATACTTACTTGCAACAGAAGTTGCAACCAGCTTGCTAATATCAATCCGTTGGTGGCGGTCACTTCGTTGTCCACTGAAAAGTAAGGTGAGACTGGCGCAGACCAAAGCATGGTCAGAGTCCAGATAGGTACTCCAAAAGGATCGGCAGTCTTTTACACAACCACGCCAGCGGAAGCTGATCGCGATGTGATCAATCTGAGTCCAGGCTTGAGATGCAGAGGTGACACATCGGCGATGGCTGTGCCGAAAGTTAGTGCTAGCCAGAAACAGGTTGTGGTCTGTGCACAGTTGCAGCAGATGGTCCCCGTTACCTGTCCTGCAACCAACACGAATATGAATGGTTGAGTTACATAACAATTATACGACAAACATATACGTATAGTATTGGTCCATGAATGTATCCCAAATGTTACCATTCATTATTCGCATCGAGATATAACAAAAGGTGTACATATCTCTTCGTAATATGTCATGAATTTTACATTCCAAATTAGCTTTAGTTAGATAATCAATGAAAATCGAGAATAGATGTTTCTTCCTAGTATAGTAGGATTCCTCAATAGTGTCCATCATTTACGATCCTATAGTGGATTGAATCTAGAACTATCACGCTATTGAGTTAGTACATAACCGTTAGACTAGTAAGTTGATATCTTATAGCCTATTTATAGTTTTAACTGAAATTAATGATACCTGCTCATATTCAACATAACGGAAATCTGTTGATTATAGCTTTCTGGTTAACGAATTGAAGTTGATTAGTGTTGTAAAATAATGAAATTGAACAATCTCTATAATCCCCCATACTATTATAAAAAAGGTTTCAATAAGTGAGTTGTGAATAATTGAAAAATCTAATCAGTAATCATTAATGTAGGATCTGACATGAATGTATACTACTGGTTCAAATTACTACACGGCAACGAAATGTGGAGTTATGTCATGGTTATTGCTTTGATTCCATTTCAGTAGTATGTGCTACCAACACAACTTAGACGGACATTCAATGGTTCGGTAGGTTATGTTCATCATGTGAAGTCATTTTCTCCAACCTACTGAAACATCAGACATAGCTATATCTTATAATCATTGGTAATCGAACATGTTTCAGACACTTAAATCGATCAAAATTCAATGTCAACAAAGGAATCGGTACTTTTATCCAGTACTCTATGATCAAATACTTGAAAAAATATTTCACCTTTATACTACAAGTTTCACGCTCATAAAGCAATATAGAGTGAACTACTGAACAGCTGGATATATATACCCTACACTAAAAAAGGATTAGATGCGCAAACGATAGTTACTTTCATTGAATGGATTATGAGATGTTATCAACCACTGATTTGATTAATACTAACACGATTTCCAAGATGAATAACATAGTCAATGTACTGTGAAAACTAAGCAATTATTTCTTTTTGTTCATTCGTTCCAAATATGCTAACATGTAATCGTTCGAAATATTGCCCCCAAATGCCCTGGTACGGCCAAGAGTTGAGGGAGTTAACTCTTCCTCTCCAAATGCTCTCATATGGCCACGCATATATAGTCTCTGCCAGAAAAGTCCTACTCACTGCCATATCGCACCATGGTTGTTGTTTACGAAGTTGAGAGGACGAAAAGCGAATATCCGGCGCTTTAACTGGGTTGGTGGATATGAAGGGTCCACCTAGGGGAGTTCGAAAACCCTCATTACAAACCAATGGTGCAAATGGGCTCCAGTATCCTAAAGGAGTATGAACCAACCGTTGGTCACCGGCTAACATGGGACTGCAACTCCTTACTTTGCTCCACTGCATTGTGGATCAGACGTTCAGGTCGAAGGCTCCGAGTGTGGTCCTCTAAGAAAACCACCTGCTTTGATTTGGGCACCCGGGCAGTATCTCAGCCCTCACACATATCAAATGAGTGGCGCATATGTATTTGGTGTCTCCTTGTACCAATATCTATGTGTTAAAATAAATAAATTCGAAACGCTACGGTTACAGATGTAATGGTTAAAAAAATAACACTACAAATTAATCGTTAATTGATATGAAACTACATAGAGTTGTCTTCAATGACAATTTTACATTCTCAGCTCAAGAGTTCATATATTACGTGTATGTTTGAATTCAGTCAGTAACAACGTAGAACTTCGTACGTACGTACATCAGTTCTAGTTGCCACGCCACATTAGCACAGAGATGCAGTTGTCGATTAAAATCCTGTAGTGTTTGAAGGCTATTCACTTGTTTAAGTTAAATTAAATAAAGTGGAATTTGAACGTGCAAATTATTGATTTGCATTATTGAGTACCTCTTACTTCTAAATTGAAAACAAATACTTAAAATATAAAAAAAAAGAATTTTTTCCTTCTGAGAAAGCTTATTAGATCTGTTAGGAGTAATCCAGAGTGAAGAACATAGTTGTACTGCAACATATGCACATGGGTCGACACTAAGATCGGCCTGCTTGAGCATCTGGGCTACCTGTTCTTGCCATCTAGATATTTCAACAAGTTATCTAGTTTTGTTTGTTTTAAAATGTCATTATGTCTATTAATCGCATAACCTATCCCGATGCATTTCTAAAAAGTGTACAACCTTTCATTGTCAAAGTTACAAAAAACTCAATAAGAGACAATGTGGTTGCTAGCAATATACAACGAAAAGAATGTACATTATTTCAGATGTTCATTTACTGAACTGCTAACATCTAACTGGCGATTACTCAATATTGATCGCCACGACCGACCAAGAAGAAAGAAACGGAAACTTGTTGAAATACTTTACGCTGAGAATTCTATATTGTACCAAAAATACATGATATTGAATAAAGCTAATAATAATAATAAATTTGTTTTTGGTGGTATAAGAACACATCGTCAAATGATGATTTTCAAGCCAATTCATTAATTTAATATTGTTAAATAGTTCGGCTACACCTTGGGGTAAATCACATCTGTCTACTATAGAATGTATAGACTGAGGTCTATACATTCTATATAGATATGCAACGCATACTTGCAATGGTAACACATCCCATACTACTATATTCATTATAGCTTCAAACGCTTTTGAGTGATTACAAAATTGACAAATGTGATAGAGAAGTATATACTGTTAACATGTTCATCTGTACAATATAAAATATCATTGAATTAAAGTTTCTATTTGCATACGAAATATAACAAAGTAAACTGTTAACACGTTCCAATTGTGAACTCTTTGCAAAATCTTATTTCTTTTGTTAAACAGTCCTATTGGTTTCTTTTACTTAGTTGTATGGGGAAAGGGGGAACAGACGAGTAGGATTAACTAACTAACTATTAATCAATTAATTTAAAGAAATAATCCCGGTTACATATGCCCAAATTCTTTATCATAAAAAGGAATTTATTCATTTATGATGGGAAATTTTATTTATACAAAATTAGAAATGAAGTTTTGCACATTTCTCCCTTTCTCTCTCTCTCTCTCTGTTTCCTTCTTATTATATGTTAAAGTGAAGCAACAAACTAGTTCATAACCACTTTTCTATTCTTTTCAATGTTGTATTATTGATTTTTCCAGGTTTATAGAAAATGCCACTGGGAAAATTTCTTTATAATGTTGAACAAAATAAACTTGTAAATCATCTTTAATAAATGATGCTAAATCATCATAATCTTTACGATTCGCTTCTGGTAAAATGATAGTTGTTATACCACCACGTTTAGCCTATTTATAAATAATAAAAGAAAAGAATAATTAAAAGTGTGTGTGTGAATAAGATTTGAACTTATGGCTTATTTATTGAAAGTTGAATGTTTTAACAACTAAGTGAATAAATGAGATATTGCTATGTGACATTTGTCTCCTGTAGAGATGAAGTACAATAGGTGATATATATAATCAGAATAGGTTTTGTGGAGATTTCACTGATTGAAATTATGAGTCAATTGAAGCTAGACCACCATGGAAAACCTAAAAGCACTGGACGGCCGTTTCGTTCTAGTATGGCACTCCTTAGCAGTGCGCATCTACGATCCCGCCCCTCGCGAAATTCGAACCCAGGATTTATCATGATTTCAACCAGTGAAATTTCTAAAAATCTCCACAAAACCCATTTTAATAATAATAATCACCTGCTCACTAGTGACTGACTTTAGGAGATACTCCTGGAGTTCTAGTGAGAAGTCGTTACCAGTGGAGTTCAACTAGGTCTGCTGTGAGACAGGAACTCACTGAAGACCATGGTGTACGGTGGCGCAACTTCGTGGGTTGATTGAAGTCAGACATCAACACCTTTGGACGGCGGCTCAGTGGTCTAGTTGGCTAAGTGCCTGGCGAGAGACTGATAGATCCTGGGTTCGGATCTCATGATGTGTGGGATCGTGGATTCGCACTGCTGAAGAGCCCCATACTGGAACGAAACGGCCGTCCAGTGCTTATAGGTTTTCCATGGTGGTCTAGCTTCAGTTGACTCATGATTTCGACCAGTGAAATATATATAATCGTAAAGGCAGGAAACTGTGATCAATAGTTGTAAATGGTGGGTAATATGGTTCAGAATTACTTACAGTGGTGTAGATTAGATTAGATTATATTATTATATTCAATGTTAAGTTTTTCTTACTACTCTCGTTACTATAAATATTCCAGGTTTTTTCGCCATAAATTTCGATAATCTAATGTCCATATGTTTTAACAGGTTGGAGGTTAACTATCACCAACTAATTACCGTTTGAAAATGCGACCAAGATAGTTTGATCGGCACTAAACAACCGTAACAATAGTCACTACTCCAGTGATCAATCAATCTAAATATTTCACTTTTATAGCAGGTCAGTCGTGACTAATATAGCTTAATGATAAAGTTTCAGACTATGCCACTAGATGACAAGGATTCGAATTATACAGGCATAATAAATCCTTTCAAGAATATATATGTACAGAATGCTGACGAGTTCTACCTGGGACGAAAATCAAGGTTAAAAGTGGCTCGGTGTAGTAACCCTGTATGGTGTAACACTACTTATTGAACAAAGATTAGTTCATTTTCATTGGAAAACGCATGTGTCACATGACATATTGAATAATCGTTTAGAAGAAATAATGAAACTGTCTTAACTTTGTGTTCGATTCTAATGCTGTTAAACAAGCTTCTTAATAGCAAGCCTAAACGGCTACTTCAGTAACAAGTAATCTTTTTATTAACCAACTGAATCAAAAAACAATTGTACACTCATTCACAAATACATATATATTTTTGTCCCCTAAAAACGTAAGCTACATTTTACACTAATAAGGTGTTTTCTTGCTTTAAAGGGAGAACAACACCTTATTCATTTGCATGAGGTCAACCACTTGGTTGATAATCGAGTGATCACCATCCTTTGTGTTAGTTCCTTAACCGGTTTACAAACTTATGAAAGTTGTGCAAGTCGAATCAATACTTGTTATTTATTTAAACACATAAATATTGGTACAAGGGAACACCAAATATAAGCGCACCACACAAACCATTCGGTTTGTGTGAGGGCTGGAATATTTCCAAGGTGCCCAAACCGAACCAAGTGGTTTTCGCAGGGGGCCACTACCCGGGACTTTGATATATAGGTCTGATCCACAAGGCAATGGAGCAACGTTAGAAGATGCGACACCGTGGTAACCGGTGACCAACAATAGGTTCACACACCATTTGTCCCCTCATGATCCTAAAGTCAATATGCATAATTCGTTTGGAATCAGGGTTTTCCAACTCCCCTGGGTGGACACGGAGGGTCCACCAACCAACTTCCTTGGAGTGGCTGTATACACGTGACCGTAAGAGAGTTCGTGGGTCAAATCAATACTACCATATATAGTTTCAAATAAAATTTCAAAAATTATCATATTATGAAGAAGCATATAACTTACTGCGATAACTTTCTCCTTGATACCACCGACTGGTAGAACTTTACCAGTTAAACTGATTTCACCAGTCATAGCTAGATTAGGACGAACAGGTTTACCACATGCTAAACTTAACAAAGCCGTTACCATAGTTACTCCAGCAGATGGACCATCCTAGTAATAATGAATATGAAAATTTACAAAGGGTAATAACAATAACAAAGGAGAAGAGGTGGGCGGAAGAAGTGTGATTGTAAACTGTACAAAATGCGAAACAATAAACGACTGCCTGTTATATTTTGCTCTCCGTCCGAGTTTGATACGGACATACAGATCGGAACCAACTACTTGAGTGGGAAAAACTGGTAGAGTGAGGAGGAAGCTTCATGAACTGAAAACCGAATAAGGATTATATACCAGGTAGACACCAAGCTCTCATACCTGATTAGCCCGAAGTTACGCAAGTAACAGAAAAGATCGAAATAATGTAGTATCAGCAATAAAAAGACTAAACCGTGTAAATATGCTTTAAGAAGACGGAATGGGAAGGTACATATGAAAGAATACTAGAATTGAAAATCTAGGAGTGAATGATTGTGAATCATATTACTCAAAGTCTCTAACACCTGATCGCGGTTATCTAAAAAAACCCAACTAGGTAGTCTACAACTGTCAACATGGCTCAATACAACAATCGGTAACTCCATAGTTAGGCATATGTAACGAATGTCATAAACACCTCAACTGATGAAGATTCACTACCTTGTTAAGCGATTCATCACTTTTTCCAAGTACCCCAATGTTAAACCTCAACAATGCTTATTTCGTGATTCCATGAAACGCAAGCAATGCTTCAAAAACACCCATGATCAAAAACTTCCAGTTTAGGCAAATCGCTAACTTTTATACACCGTGTTTCATAGCCATAGAGTAAAACACAGCTGACTGCTGAGTAGCATACATTCCCTTTCGTTGGTAGACGTTCATCTCACATGTAGCATAAGTGACGCATCTTGGCAAAAGCCAACCGAGCTTTCGTCACACACCAACCCACCAGGACTGAACCTTTTAGGATAATTAAAGTAGCTAACGCACTCTAAAACTTTACTACCTATCACTAGAATAGGCGTTGATGTCGATCAGTCCTGAAGCAACATTTTGCATTTGGAGGAAGAGAAATGTATCACAAACACGCTAGCATTGTTACTTAAGGTGATCAAAAGATTTTATATTTTTTTCGGAGTCTTCACTAAATAGAATTATGTCATTTGGCTCAACAATACATATTGATAGATGAAGACTACTTGGTTGAGGTCCGTGTGACTATCGTAACCAATAGTTGGAGACTCTTGGTGATATGGCTCAGAATCGATCACGATGGCATAGGTGTATACACTCTCTGTCTTCTCTTAAACTATGAGATTAAAATCACTCCATATCTTTCTTTCTTTCTACCAACTAATTCTTTCTTTCTGTACTATATCCTTATATGCAATCTTTCTTTTATATATTACCACCACTGACTTAACTACTTTTATGAATCCGGTATCCATCTTGTTGTGTTAATAAGGTGTGGCAACTTGAATCGATGCATGTATATGCCTGGTCATACGTTGTAACTGACTGACTGAAATGTACACTCATAAATATATATCTTACTCCCTCAGAAAATAAAGTCACACTTATCTTTTAGTGTATATCTGGTTGGTCAGACTCATCAGTTTTAATTTAAATACAATAAATAAATAATATACAAACCTTAGGTGTAGCACCTTGAGGAACATGTAAGTGAATATCAGATTCTTGAAGGAATAAAGCTGCTTTTGAAGATTCTGTTGGATTAAGCATACACTGTTCTTGATTATTATTACTATCAGCACTATCATTATCAATGACAGTAGTTGTAGAAAAGCATGGAGCACCGGAAGCAGCAAATTGTGTAGCAAATGTATGAGCAATAGATATGGACTCTTTCATAACTTTTCCTAAACTTCCAGTTACTTGTAAAATCCCTATGAAATATACACAATAAAATAGATGTTTTACTACTAAAACCCAAATGGGAGAAGAGAGACTTGAAAAATTTAATGAAAGATCGAATTGATTAATAAACAAAATTGAAGCATATAGACTAAACAACACACACGGGTTCATTAGAAATTGTTGGATAACAACGAGGGATGATTTCAACAGTTGAGATCATAAGTCAATGGGAGCTAGACCACCATGGAAAACCTGGAAGCACTGAACGGCCGTTTCGTCCTATTGTGGGATTCCTCAGCAGTGCGCATCCACGATCCCACCTCGCGAGATTCGAACCCAGGACCTATCAGTCTCGCGCGTAACCACCAGACCATTGAGCCGGATGGCATCCAACAGTATTGATGTCTAACTTCAACTAATCCACGAAATAGAGCGACACACTGAAGACAAAGGTGGATGTATCGCTCAATTGTATGTGAGAATTTCTGAGGAATCGCAAGATTAGAACAAGCCATCTATAAATCTAGTTAAAATCAATGGATAATGTTAGCTCACTTAATACTGGAAATAAAGCTAAAATATCTTCTGCAACCATTAATCAACGTTCCATCATACGTTTTCGAGATCAAAACAAAGATTTGCTTGAATTTTATTGAATTACTCGACTCTATAGTAGACACTTTTTATGAAGCTATAGAAGAGGAACTTAAAATTTGAATGGATGATTTGTAGCCTGCAGTGGAATTTAGGACGATCGTTTCGTTCTATCCGGGACTCTTCGACTGAATTTACATGCATTACAGTGTTGGTATTAACACTGAAACCGGCTGTAAGTCCCAAATAAATCGAAATGAGCTTCTTATATTCCACTACTAGCCACAACTCAACTTTAATAAATACTACCGATTATTATCAGTTAAAAAGTACGAAAACTCGCTAAACGTACCTTTTTTATTAGATACTTCTTCCGAATCACTACTACTATCACTGTGTGAATCAGTAGTATTGGTAGATTGGTAGAAATATTTCGGTTTTTTATGAGTACATTCAATATATAGAACAGAACCACCCATTGATGTCCAAGCTAAACCCATAACAACCCCAGGTGGTGTGATAGAATCATACAAACGATCTGATGTCCAAATTGGTTGACCAACATATGTGGTTAAGTTGTCACTATTGACTAGAATTGGTGGATCTTTCTCTGCATTGACTAATTGATAAGCAACTTTACGAACAATCTGTGTAAGAATAATGAAAAATGAAGCAATAATAGGGCAGGTAAGCTATACACCTTCATGTAATACATATAGAGATGTATTTCTTAATAGAACAAGTAATAAAAACTTCATTTTAATCGCCTCCAGACTCCATATTGATGATGTCTGCCTATGATTGTCCCACTTTAAACATGACAATTAGTGATTAAGACGTACCATTTTCAGCCGCTAAGTTCGAGTTTTTCTCCACCTATTTAGGTTTTGGCAACCAGGTAGTAAAATTAGCTCTTATACATCACGAGTGGCTCACATCCAAGTGCCTAGGGAATAAGTTCAATTTTTTTTTAGTGAGAATTAATCCTCAATCATCAATAAAAAAGTGTAGAATTTTGGACAAAATATACAATAACACAGTTTAGCACATATCACGTAGGTACACAAAAATTACGTCAGGAATCATGGTATCAGAGTTGAGAAGACTTTCAAGGTAATGGAGTTGGTTAACGTGCTCGACTACTTCACGCTCTATGGTCATCAACAAGGGGTATTGACGTTGACTAGTCCATCGGTACATGTAATTAGCCTTCATAATTCATCAACTCGAACGAGTCTAAAGCATAACGATTAGTTGCAATATTTGTCAAGTTAGAAAATGGAAGCCCCAGGCTTTGAACAGGGGCCAGAAGTTTGAAAACATTTGAAGATTTCAACATAGGCAATTGATTACTTGAAGACATATTTAAGATGAAGTAATGCAGAAACCTAAAACACACTCCCAGTCTTTAAATTTATATTAACAGTCATAGTACGCTAGTTTATTTCGAGTATTATATGATAGGGATTTATCCTTTCCTGATCACCCACTCATCTTTTCAAGGTATCAGAAAAAGGAACTAGATTAGATGTGATCTTGATTAACTGGAAGTGTAATCACAGAGATCATACATCGTCTTTGACAAATGTTTTACATGTATCCCTTCCCTACTTTAAAGATCACAATATTATCAACTAAGGCAGTGTCTTATATTTTTGTTAGGATCGATCTCTCTTAATCATTTCACTATATTATGAAAAGTTATCGTTTTTAGTTTAACTGTTCTTCAATCTATCTGTCTAGTATAATAAAACCTAAAGGAATGAATATTCTGGCAAATATAAACTGAATTAGTTATCATAATATATATATGCAAAGCTCGATCATCGAGTTAAGGTAGTCAACTACGTGACTAACAATAATTCATTACTGTAATATGTGTGTAAATTCGTGTATGCACAAACACACACACACATACATACATCCATGTACACACACGTAGAAACTACCATTAGAAACCCCAAAAAATGCATAAAACTTTGGGAAAACAAAGAAAAAGTAATGACTATAACAGTAGAAATCATGGAATAAAACAAATAATGTTGGTTAAACAACGTACATGTATGGGAACAAACCTATATGATGCAATAATGATAAACGTATCATTATTACGTGATCAAATGCAAGTAAATTAAAGGTGGATATGCCATTTGTTATGACTGAACTTATTCAATCAGACATGCGCATATATATATATAACATTATAAAGTAAAGCCTTTTGCTAGTTCTTTTATTGAGATATTCATTAAACGAATAAGATCTTCAAAGAAGTTAGTTCAGATTTTGATAATTAAACTGACTGAGATATCCCCAGTTAAAGTTATATTTTATTTGATTCTATTTGATATGTTTCAATCGCTGATTGTCCCAGTTTTATGAGGAAGGATGAATATATTTCATGATAAGCATACAAGAATCAGTTTGACTAACATATATAATATCTAAATTATTAGCCTTAATACTTATGTGACACTTGTATGGAATAAGGAAACAGAAAACTAGGGAAAACCAGGCTGTTTCCACATATGACTTTGTATGTAGTGACTCTCTGTAAGATGTTTGAGGATAGGCATACTTAAGAATACCTAACCCCAAATACCTTGGTATAGCGGAGGATGGAAAGAGTCTGCTCTCCCTCTCTAGAATGCTCTCATATGACCACGCGTATATAGCCATTGACAAACAAGTTCTACACATTGCTTTCCGCAGAAGTGCTGTTATTTATGAAATTGAAAGGGTGAAAAGCGAATGCCTGATGGGGGCTTAAACCAGGTCAATGGGTACGAAGCAATCACTAAGGAAAGTTGGAAAACCCTGATTCCAGAACAATAGTGCACATAAGCTTCATGATCCTGAGGGAATAAATGACGTATGAACCTATTGTTGTTCACCAGCTACCATAGAACTGCATCTCCTAACGTTGCTCCACTGCCTTGTAGATTAGACCTTTGAGTCAAAGGCTCTCTAAGAGAACCAACTGCTTCAATTTGAACGCTCATCTAGCATCCCAACCAACAAGCAAATTGAATAATAACTGCTTTGTATAATGCATATACATTATGGTATCCTTTTGTACCAATGTTTATGTTTGAATGAATAAATGAAAAGAAAATATTAATCAATAACCAGACGCTTCGTATGAAGTAAACTCATGAAAACCAATTAAACTCGTAGTAATGACGTAGCAAAAGTAATTCCAGTGTTTCTATTACCACAGACTAAATCATGTGACAAAATAGGATCAGGAAAGTGACAACATGGATTCTTGTACACTTAAAAAATTAGACATTGACAATAGAATATTTCACATCTCATGTAACTAACAGTTACGAAACGCAGAAAAAAAACATTATGAATAGTTATATAATTTAGACAATATCAGATAGTTGGAGGTAGTCGACAGGAAGTTCTACTTGACCTAAGTTTCATGCCAGTTAAAATTCATAAACAAAGCATTCTTAAACTTTCAATGGAACTAATACTTCTTGAACGATTCAAACCCGTATCATACGGCTTCAGTGTGTTACAGTTTAATGCTGAGTTATGGAAAAGAGCTTGAAATGAAATTCTACGAATGTCTGATGCTAAGATACTGATAAGTCTTGCTAACTGGACGCCATATTCGGTTCTTAAGCTATTCTCGTAACCCTCAAGCTAGAACGACACAGCGACATGAACACGAGAGAAAAGGCGCAAAATGTGTGAGAAGCACTTCGCTCCAAAGATTGGTTTTAATACAGAAAATATAAGGTTTTTATAGTATTTTAGATGCCCTCGGGTTTCTCGAAAATTCCGGAGTGATACTAAACATAGTGGCAGTATAACAATCAGTCAATCAGAAACTCTACATGCGACTTTTCACTTTCTTAATGTTTCTGGTTAAACTTTAAGTGAACGCTGACTAGATAAAATGCTTCTTAGTGTTTTCCTGATCCTTTCTTGTCTTTTGCGAGTTTTCTGGATCACCACAACAAATACAATTGATACGAATTTCAATAATTGACGATATTGTGGTTGAAGGCTGATATTCTATATTTGATATTCAGAGAATTAACTTAACAGAATGTTATAAACAGTTAACTTGTAGTCATTTAATTACGAAAGTGATTATTGTTCCATCTACAACCAGTCGACTATTCACTAGTCATCATAATCAATTGATTTACTAGGTGTAAATCTATATGAGATGGTGGAGAAGATTTGTAGCTCAGGTGGATGATTTCGATGGAGTTTTGTTCTCTGAGCTGGGTCGTTCGGTCATGGAGCTTTCATCGTTCTATGACCAAACCATCCAACTCAGAGAACAAAACTCTATCGTAAATCTATATACTTAGCTTTTAGACACATTTCAAATTTAATAACTAATACTACTACTACTTAAAGTAGATGAAACAAGTAGGATTCGAATTTGGCACTTCATATAACTTTAAATTATAATTAAACTAATTATTATATTGATTAGACTTACTTTTTCAATATGCTTTTGTAGATTACGTACACCACTTTCACGACAATATTGTTTAATTAAACGTTTTATTGCATTATCATCAATTAAAAGACGATTATCATCTAGACCACAATTTCGAGTAGCCAATGGAAGAAGATAACGCTGTGTAAACATAAACAAAGAAAAAGAAAGTTTTAAAATAATGAAGTTCTAGCTGGTGTCTTGTAAACAGTGATTACATTATGTGATATTGTCTAGATCTATACACCAAGATTTCAGATTTAAACGATTCAACTTAGAGATTATGAAAGTAATAAAAGACATGTTATTGCATAACAATAGTGATATTCTTATATTACTATACAGAAGTAACCTTAGACCGATACAATTGGATATAATGTAGTGACAGTTTACTTATTATGTATTATTATTACCTTTATTCAATATCATGTATTTTTGGTACAATATAGAATTCTCAGCGTAAAGTATTTCAAAAAGTTTCCGTTTCTTTCTTCTTGATCGGTCCTGGCGACCAATATTGAGTGATCGCCATTTAGATGTTAGCAGTCCAGTAAATGAACATCTGAAATAATGTACATTCTTTTCGTTGTATATTGCTAGCAACCACATTATCTCCTACTGGGCTTTTTGTAACTTTGACAATGAAAAGTTGTACACTTTTTAGAAATGCACCAGGATAGGTTATGCGATTAATAGACATAATGATATATTAAAACAAACAAAAATAGATAACTTGTTGAAATATCTAGATGGCAGGAACAGGTAGCCCAGATGCTCAAGTAGGCCGTACAATGAAGACTAGTTATGTATGATAGACATTTTAAATATTATTTCTTATCTATAGTCATTTGAAGATACTTGCTAAATGTTGACAGATGATGTTTTGAGAAAACAGTTCAATTATTTTATATACATTTTAAGAATAAACATATCCCCCCCCCCGATTTTCCATGTATTCAAAAGTGAACTTAACCAAAAGTCTGTTGGTATATTATAGCTTCTGGAAATAGACAAATGGATCTAGTATCTTCTACTTTGATTGGTAACAGATTATTCATTATAGCATTAAGGCTACCTGTTATAATTGGAGTGATCACTTCTTAGTATAATTGTCCATAGAAACTTCACACAGAGGAATGAACATATTACTTGATAGATTATATCTTACTGTAAGTTACTACTTAAAAGATTATCAAAATGTTTCTAAATACAATCGAATATTTAATTAATTTGAACATATAGGTCGAGTTTCAGATTTCACTAATATATTCAATGGACAAATATATTTCAGCGTAAATCCTCATCTACAAGTACTCACTCTTTATATTAAAATCACCAATCTACAAGAATTGTAACCAAACAAATATCATTTCAACGAAAAGCAATATTATTGGAATATAATAATGAATAGGATCAATGGGAAGATACAAGCCAAGCAATACCAAGTGAATTGAAATTCACCCCATTGCACAAGAAAGTGGCCATCATGACTCAGTAGTTAAGTAGATAAAGTGATGTCGTTTGAAGCGAATGGTGCTGAGTTAGAGTCACAGAGTGAACATCAACAAGTCTGAGGTGCAAGTACATCCAGTTAACGAGTCCCAAATAGGACGAAACGCGCGTCCAACTGGATTCCACTGCTAGCCACTATCCATCATTGCTTACAAAAAGCTTAAGAGTTAAGGTAATATCGAGGCATACGCACAGTATGCACATATGTTAATAACAGACTGATCAATTGCAGTCTTAAACCTCAATGGGAAGATACAAGTCAAATAATACGAATCAAATTTAAGTATAGGAATATGGAAATTGTTGAATTTCATTGAAATCATGCACCGATCTAAATTAAACTACGACTGAAAACCTCCAAGCAATGAGTAGAATTCCTTAACAGTAAGTGTCCATGATCCCATGATTGGAAGTTAAATTTAGGACCTTCAGTCTCGTGCAAGAACACTTAACCTCCAGATCACTGAAGCGATATCCAAAGGAGCTAATACGTGTCCAGTGTAACGCAGTTACTTACCAAAGAGAAGGGGAGATAGTCGTGGATTGATTGAAACTAGGTAGGTACACCGTTGGATGCCGATTCAGTGGTCTAGAGGTTGTTGAGTGTTCGCATATGAAACTGGAAGTATTGGATTCGAGTCCGCAAGGAGGATCATGGATGCACATTACTGAGGAATCTCATATAGAACAAAGAGGCATTACTGGATACTTGCATAAGTCAACTCCATTTAACTTCTTCATCGTTTTATATTTCATTATCTTTGTATTGTCCCGTTGCAGGTATTCCCACAAGGCTATTTTAAATTTTCGTAACGAAAGGATATCAAATGAGGGTACCCGTTTGAAGATCAGAGAGGATAATACTAGATGCTGACTGGAAACACATAAACAATCATTGATGATTGTATAGGAACATTTTCGTGATCTAGTAGTCATTTATTAGCTTTAAGTAAAGAGGTTGCTTAGTGGTTAGGAAGTACCACTTTTCGTCATTAATTCTCAAACTCGAACCCCGATCTACCTACTTCAAGTTTAGCAACTAGTTGACCTCCCCATGCTTAGAGTTTAGCTTACAATCAAGTCTAATTATTTATTAGTTAAAATTGGACCAATTAAGAAAGGTGTATAGTCCAAGTACAATATGATATGACTAACTACCATATTAATTTAGTTTATGCATTTTATGAATTACTGTAGTACAATTTTAACTGATTTTTTGTAATGAATAAAACAACTTACTTTTGCAATGGCTAATTTTTCTTCTTCAACATAACCGGATACTTCAATCACTTCCATACGATCTCTTAATGGTTCTGGAATTGTATCTAATTGATTTGCTGTTGTAATGAATAATACACGACTTAAATCTACTGTAACATCAAGATAATGATCAAGGAAATTAACATTTTGTTCTGGATCAAGTAGTTCTAATAAAGCACTAGCTGGATCACCTTGCCATCCACGACCTAATTTATCAATCTATAAAATGTACAGAAATACAATAAACATGAAACGATGACAATAATAAAAATGATGGAAAAATCAAACCTAAACTGATTTATTGTGGAAGTTATACGTATCGTACAGTATCCAATATTGATGCTGATATACAATCTTTTTATACACAACCCTAATCGGTTACTCGAAACAAAAGACTGAGAATGGGAGAAAACGTTGATTGACTAAATAAAATCGAAATGAATATATACTCATTTATATAAATACGTTTGTCCCTTTCGAAAATTAAAGCACCAATGTTATTTATTTATTATTTGGACACATAAATATTGGTACAGTGGGGCATCGAATACATATGCGTCACACAAGTCACAGATTTGTGTGTGGGCTGCAACGACCGAAGCAGGTTGTTTTTTCAGGGAGCCACACTCGGAGCCTTCGAACTAAAGGTCTGATCCGCAAGGCAGTGGAGCAACTTTAGATGTAGTCCTATGATAACCGGTGACCAATAATTGGTTCGTACTCCATTTGTTCTTTCAGGATCCTGGAGCACATGTGCATCATTGGTTTAGAATCAAGGTTTTTCAATCCCACTAGGCGAATCGTCCGTATCCACCAACCCGGTTAAGTTGCCGGACATTCACTTTTCGTCCTCTCAATTTCGTAAACAACACCCGTAGTGTGAGAAGGCAGTGAGTACGACTTCCCTGGCAGTGGCTGTATACGCGTGGCCATGTGAGAGGATTTCGAGAAAGACAGGGCTAACTCTCTCCACCCTCGGTCGTACCAGGGCATTTTGGGGGGTAATGATGTATGCTTTATCGCTTAAAAATATGAGTTATTCCCTAGTCAATCACAAACACTTATCATATAACCGATCTTTGATTGTCACAATACATCAGAATATTTCCCAGAAAATGAAAGGAAAACGTATTGTTTTTATCACTGGTTTTTTCTAGTAAATTTTTAAATCACACGAAAGCTTTTTTTCGACGATTTGAAGTATGGAAATTAAGTGTCTAATTATCAAGAACAGAGCAATATATTTCCATACATACTTATCCATTATTCCACATGGTATCATCTTTGATAGAGAGTACAATGAAATGTCTTTTTTATATCATATTCATAATTGCTAGGAAGCTAGATAGAAATGCCACTTTAATGAAGGTGTATATAATTATTGATGTAAGGTCTTTGTGAAGATTTGTATATGTAGGTGATATTCACCACAGATTGGTCTTAGATGAAATATCACTGAAGATTAGAGAGCATTAGTGTTATGTTCCGATGAGCATAATGAATGGTAACATTTGGGATACATTCATGGAACAAAGCTATGCGTATATGTCTATCGTATAATTGGTATATAACTAAACTATTCATATTCGTATTCCTCTTATTATAAGCTTTATTTTGACCTATAAACTATTATTATACGTTTTACCATTTTTGAATTATGCCTGGTCTATCAATTACTACCTTCCACATTCACAGCCACTCTTTTGGCTAAATCTTGTACAAATGTGTATCTTCTGTTTTTTATGGTATGATGTGGTCTGTTTGATTGGTATATAAACCCAGTATATTTAAAATATATGATTGATATCGCAGTGACTGAGATTAATGTTCTGAACTCAAGCGACAGGCAGGGTTAGTTAGGAAGCAGGACCGATAAGGACTCGAGACTGCTGGTACTTGTTTCATTCCTCATTGGTCCAGTCGATAATTCATTGATCGCTAATTGGTGATATCATTGTGTATACATTAACAGGTCACTAAGGCCACAATTAGACAGGTAATTAAACCGAGTATGAGACTGCAAACTAGTGCAAAATCACTATACACCAACAATATATTAAACTAGGTATTTTCTTTTCGAAAATTTCTAGAAAAAAAGAGTTGTATCCAACCGACCCAACCCCCCTTCAAGATATTTTGAAATCATTTCATGTGGGTTTTTTTTTACCCACTCCCATGTATATTTCTAAATAATTCTATTCACTATAGTTTACCTATAATCATTAATTAGATACGTAGAATATTCATTACCAAGTAAGTATTCATATGTATAAATAGTATTAGAACCGTACATGGATAGATATAGATATACAAAACATGAATGAAAAAAAAGGAAAGAAAACATACTTCATCGATTAAAATGAGTGGATTTTCAGTTTTAGTTTTTTTAAGACATTGAATAATTTTACCAGGCATAGCACCAACATAAGTACGTCGATGACCTTTGATTTCAGATACATCAGACATTCCACCAACAGAAAAACGAAAATACTATAGAAAGAAACAAGGAAAGAGAGAGAGAGAGAAAAAGAAAGAGATAATATTTTATGTTAATGAATACGGTGGAATCATAAGATAGAGTAATGTTGAATTTAAAATGTAGGCTAATGGGAGGGAATACTGTTGGGGTAATCCAGAAAATTGTTTGCAAAAGACAAGCAAGCATTAGGAAACACTAAGAAGCGTTTCATCCAATCAGCGTTCACTTGAAGTCTTAGCCAGAAACATCAAGGAAGTGAAACGTCACATGTAGAGGTTCTGATTGATTGATTGCTATACTGCTACTATGTTTGTTAGCATTCCAGAATCTTCGAGCAACCCAAGGACATTTAAAATATTATAAAAACCCTATATTTTCTGTATTGAAATGAACCTTGGAGTAAACTACTTCTCGCATACTTTGAATCTTCTCTTTCGTGTTCAGGTCGCTGTATAGTTCTAGCTTGTGGGTTACAGAATAGCTTAGGAGACGAATATAGCGTTCAATCAGCAAGGCTTATCAAATACTGACAAATTAGTTTTGGAGGCTATGAACTTTTATTGGCTGTAGTAATAGGGATATATGTATAGATACCGAACCTGCCAATATGTTGACGTACAATGATGAGTTGTGTAGGACAAGAATGAAGGAGTGAACAGACCAAGATATGGCATTAGCATCTAATATCAAACTAAGGCATCCCTAATGATGAAGACTTATTTGGTTGGGGTCCGTGAGGTAATCCTATATCGCAAGTAGTTGGTCATAAATGTCTTCGAATGATTCCTCGCATGTGTTGGAACAAGTGAGTGGTAATGTTGAGTTAGATTTAAGTTACTAGACAGAAGTGGCAGATCAATTAAATTTCTAACAATTTATATGGTTGAGACAGATATTATTCATGATAAACCACCCATCAACCGCAATACATGGAGTAGGTTGAAAGAAAATTATAAGTAGGCGAACGATAGCTCCTTTTATCTGTTTGTTTTGTTTGTTTTAACACATCATCATGTCAATTAATCACATAATCTATTCAAGTGAGTTTATGAGAAAACTCATGACATTTCGGTGTACAAGTTCCAAAATAGTACAACCATCAGAGAGGCATCCTGGTGGCTGGCAATATGCATTGAAAAAGAATGACCACTATTCAGATGTCGATTCCTGAAACTGCTAATATCTAACTGACGACCACTCAATATGTTATCGTCAGGACTGATCAATAAATAAGAAACGGGAACTTGTTGAAATACTTTGTGCTGAGGATTCTATATTCTACCAAAAATACATGATATTGAATAAAGCTAATGATAATAATAATAAACCAAGAAAAGAATAAGACAAACTTTTCTATTTAATGCACGAGCTATTGAATTAGCTATACTGGTTTTACCAACTCCAGGTGGACCACAAAAACATAAAATTTTGCCTTGTGTTGAACCTTTCAATTGACTAACAGCAATGAATTCCTATAAAAGAAAATATAATACAAAAGAAAAGGTCATTTCCAGAGAAAACAAAACAACTATAGATGAGAAATAATCTTCGATAATAAACAGAAGAAAAAAAAGAGAAAACAAGAGAACAGTCAAATATTTGTGTGATTTATTCACAAGAATGAATTTGTCAATAAGTATTTTAAGTCAAAGTCAGTCAGCTACGACGTCAGACCAGATTCATATTATGCATCGATTCAAGTTGCCATACTTCAATCATTAGCACAACAAGATGAACACCGCATTCACAAAAGTAGTTAATTCAATGGTGGTAATACATAAAAGAAAATTGCACATAAAGATATAGGATGGCAACAAGAACTGATGTACGTATGCACGTACGAAGTTGTAAGTTGTTACTGACTGACAGGAAAAAAAATTAGTTGGTAGAAAGAAAGATATGAGGTGATTTTAATCTCATAGTTCAATGGAAGACAGAGAGTGTATAAACCGACGCCATTGTAATCGATTCTGAGCCATGTCATACAGAGTCGCCAACCATTGACTACGATAGTCGCGCAGATCACAACTAAGTAGTCTACATCTACCACCAACATGGCTCACACCAGAAGTTATTAACTTCAATGACTGATGCCATGTTTTGTTTTGGCCACCCCTAACCTTCTTCCAAACATCCCCTACACTAATCAGCATTGTGCGTTTTGGTAATCGGTGTTCAGGCATACGTAACTCGTGGCCCAACCATCTCAGTCGATGAAGATTCACAACCTCATCAACTGATTTACCATCGTCACTCCCTAATACCCTGTGTCTGTCTAACCTCACTATTACTTACCCGGTGATTCCAGCAGATGCGAGCAATATTTGTAAAACATCTGTGATCAAATACTAGCAACTTACGAGTATCTTCTACTCTTAATGATCACGTTTCGCAGCCGTAAAGTAACATAGAACGAACTGCTGCACAGTATACTCGTCCCTTAAGTGATAGACGGATATCTCGCCTTCGCCATAGATGATGTAAGTTGGCTAAGAATCCAAAACTACACAACAAGTTACTTGTTATATTTTGACTCAAATACGATGATGGTAATATGCATAGAAATAACTATTAACTAGCGTTTCGTGACTTAATGTAAGCCACTTCTTCAGAATAAATAAGTAACTGATCATTTATTTACTCTGAAGAAGTGGCTCACGAAATGTTATCAGAAATACAATTTTTCTACTCACTGGGACACAACAAAAAAATATATTTATTATTAACTTCCTATCCAATGCACAACCTATTTGATACTATCAAGTCTAACCATGGCATTGATATATATCGACTAGCCGTTAGAATTGTGTAGCAACTAATAAGAATGTTAATTTGACTATCATATTATAAGCAACAAAAAGCCTAATCAACAAGTTGAATATAAGTAGACAAAAGATGCCAACTAGTTACCATCACCTCCAGGGTAGTTGTCACTTATTCACCTGTGAACCTATAACATCATCTATGCTACAAAATACCAGGATTGTATTATGATTTAGGAGAAGATCGGAACATAAAGGAAAGAATTTGATAATGAGTGAGCTTTATATAAAACGACGTATCATGGATAAGAGTCAATTAATAAATCTTGGTACGGTTTTTGTAAGTAATAAATTGATAGAATAACATTACAGAATAAAAATCACTTATTGAAATGTTTGATTGCCTTATTAGTTAAATCATTCAAATAATAAAGTCTCTTTGTACCATTTTAACGACCATTATTATTATTGCTATTACGTAATTGTTGCCTTTTCTTTTTACCAGTCATAATAATTTGCATTTTTCTTGCACTCAATTACGTCATGATCCTTCATTCTTTCAGTTAATTTCGATGGCCCGAAAACTTACATTTTTTTACTAGTGAACTAAATAACTTTATACATGTTCGGTCAACAACATGTAGATTAATATTAACTACAGTAAATATATCTTGAGTTTTAGTAGTGTACATCCACAACCCCTCATGCTGGAATCAAACTAAGGACTTTTGATCTCGTGCGCGAACACCTAACTTTCACACAACTAAACCCCTCAACAACAAAAAAGAAATTTGTCAATCTCCGGAACCCCATACCGACAATTATCATGTGCACACTAGTGACTAGCTTCGAGAGAGAAGCCTTGATTAATGAAGCTAAAGTGTATCGAGTGTGAGGCAGTTACCCACCGAAAACAATGGAAGACGGTCGCGAAATGGATTGATTAACGTTAGACATGAACACTATAGAATTTAGACTTAGTGTTCTAGAGGTTAGGGGACAGCACACAACAACGTAGGTCATGAGTTCAATTCCCCCATGGAAAATCGTAGGTGTGCTCTGCTGAGGAGTTCAATACTGAGATGAGACGACCGTCCAGTGCATTCGGGTTTTAAATAGTTGTATAATTTAAATCGGCTCTTGATTTTAATGTAACTCTCCGTTGCTTGATCAAGTTCAGGAAATGAAGTTTTATCTTCTAAATTACGTGTTTATTATTATACATAAAATGACCAGATAATCTGTTTTGAACAAGAGCTTTTCTGAAAGGATCGATTTTTTTAGCAACCAGGATTTCCAACAATATCACCTTTTCACAATAGAAGCAAATAGTTGGAAAAGTTTGTATCTAAAAATAACACACCTTACGTTGGTACACTGGTTTCCGTTACAGGTCGCAAGGTCTGAAAAGTACAGAGCTAACACATAAAAGCCAATCAAGAAAAGGTTCTGAAATTGATATCACAGAGTTAGTCCTTCAAATTTCCGGTCAGCTAACATAGTTTATTTTAGAGGTCTATCATGAAGTAATCTTCTACAACCTGGACAACTAGGAAGTGACAACCAACCTTATACCTTTAATAATATCTGAGGATTAAGCTAAAAGGAATTATACATACATATATAATCTATCATATAAATGAAAGATTGGAGTGAATATGTTATATTCAAAAGAATTACCAGAATACGTTTTTTCACATCATCCATTCCATAATGATCTTCATCTAAAATTTTCTTTGCTTGTCCAATATCTAAATGTTCTTCACTTGTTACACCCCAAGGTAGTGCAGTTAACCAATCCAAATAATTACGTGTTACACTGAAGAACGTAGCATGTGTATTCCCCCGACCAGGGAAAGAAAAATAAAAGGAAAATAATTAAAGTAGGAATAACACATGATATATTTATTATATTAGTGGAGTTTCGGTTATTAAGCTGAATAGTTGTTTTGTCGTGAAACATTTATTGTTCTTCTGAACAACATCATCGACACAAACTTCAGGTAGAAATGAAGCAACTGAATTTCTCTATATATGATAAATAGCTTATCCTGTCAACCTTGATCTCGATGGATTATTATTGACTCATAATCTGTCATTATCTGCATTTGATTCTTGGGAGATATCATCAAAATAAAGATGCAGATAATAAAAGGGTTAAAGATCAACAATGATCAATCGAGATTGAGGGGAAAAATTCGAATATCTTATCGAATTTAAAGACTCTGACTTGAGACTGGTGATTTAAATGGGTTTCACGATCCTTAGATATGAGCCGACTCCAGTCAGTCAGTAACAACGTAGAACTTCGTACGTACGTACATCAGTTCGAGTTGCCACACCACCTTAACACATATGCGGTTGTCGATCCAAATCCCGTAGTGGTAGAGGTAGCAAGAGTGTAAGCAGTGATCGAGAAGATTAGGGTTTGGAGATGTTACTTAAAGAGTATAATTCAGTGCAATAAATTTGGAAAGAGGAAAAAAAGGGACATGAAGAATTTAGAAGATTAGAATATGGTAGGACACAAAGAGTGGATGCACCTGCGCCATTGCAAACGATTTTGAGCCATGCCATTCAGGGTCTCTAACCATCGGTTGCTATCATCTCGCGGTCCCCAACCAGGTAGTCTACACCTACCAAAATGACTCAGACCACTTGTCAGTGACTTCATGGACTTGTGCCATGTTTTGGTCTGGCCGCCCCTAACTTTCTTCCAACCTAATCCTATATCACTGAACATCGCACGTCGAGGCAGTCGGTCGTTGGGCATACGTAACACGTGTCCCAGCCATCTCAACCGATGAAGTTTCACTACTTCATCAATTGATTTGCCATCCTTACTTAGTACCCGTTTCCTAACAACTGTGTTATTTACTCGATGGTACCATGATATACAAGCAATGTTTCGAAGACACCTATGATTGAATACTAGTAACCTACGAACATCCTCTACTATTACCGGCCATGTTTCACTGCCATAAAGTAGGACGGGACGAACTGCAGCGCAGTAAACACGTCCTTTGGTTGGTAGACGGATATCTCGCCTACGCCATAAATGACGCAAGTTGGCAAAAGTTAGTCGAGCCTTCTGTATCCGTGCTGAGAGTTCGTCACATACCAGACCACAGGGGCTGATGAGACTTCCAAGATAAGTGAAGCGGTCGACACACTCAACTACTTCACTCCCTATCATTAGTTCGGGTGTCGATGTAACCCAATCCTGAAGCAACATTTTGCATTTCGATGGGAGAGAATCGCATCCCGAACATGCTTGCATTGTTGCTTATAGTGGTCAGAAGACTCTGCCGACTCCAGTAGCTGGCTATGATGAGACTACATTTCATAATGTTGCTACAATAACTTATGCGTGAGACATTTAGGCGAGAAGATAGATTAGCGCCCCGTAAAACATAACCTGTTTGGTTTGGGGACCTGAGAAGTACTATGTTTTTCAAGGAACACAGAAAGCGTGCATATCAGTATCAACATCAAACAATATCTTCTAAAGAAATAAAGAAAATTAAAGGTCTATAGACTTAATTAGTGTTAATTATGGTTTATTACATTAAAATGTTGATATTATAGTTTGAGAGATCCGTCTATCATTTAAGGGACGAGTATACTGTGCAGCAGTTCGTTCTGTCTCACATTACGGCTACGAAATGTGGCCATTAAGAGTAGATATTCGTAAGCTACTAGTATTTGATCACATATGCCTCACAAATATAGCTCGCATCTGCTGGAATCACCGGGTAAGTAATAGTGAGGTTAGACAGACACAGGGAGTGACGATGGTAAATCAGTTGATGAGGTTGTTAATCTTCATCCACTGAGATGGTTGGGCCACGTGTTACGTATGCCTGAACACCGATTACCACAACGCGCAATGCTAATTAGTGTAGAGGATGGTTGGAAGAAGTTTAGGGATGGCCAAACCAAAACGTGGCATCAGTCATTGAAGTCATTAACTTCTGGTGTGAGCCATGTTGGTGGTAGATGTAGACTACTTAGTTGTGAACTGCGTGACTATCGTAGTCAATGGTTGGCGACTCTGTGTGACATGGCTCAGAATCGATCACAATGGCATATGTGTATACACTGTCTGTCTTCCCTTAAACACTGAGATTAAAATCACTTCATATCTTTCTTTCTACCAACTAATTTTTCTTCTTGTACAATGTCCTTATATGCAATCTTTCTTTTATACATTACTATCATTGAAACAACTACTACTTATAGACAAATCAATCAGATCTCAACGCAAAATTCACTCATTCATTTGATTAAACAACGCTTTGGCATTTTAGCTGATGTCATTTCGTGATGCAAACTTTTAAATCTAACCATCTTTATATACAATCTTTCTTTTTTGTATTACCACCACCGCTGAATTCATTACTCCTATGAATCCGGTGTTCATCTTGTTGTGCTAATGATTGAGTTTTGGCAACTTTGACCGATGTATATATGTGCCTGATCCTAAGTTGTAGCTGACTGACTGACTGATTATAGTTTGAAAATGATTTTTTTTTAAAAAGAAAAACTAATTCACAATAAAATTACTGACTTGAATTCTGAAGAGTGATTATCTAAAACGCTTAATTTATTCAATTCTTCATCGATCACTTCCATAACACTAGATGGAACAGTTAAATCCTGAAGGAAACAAGAAGAAACATACAAAAATTAACTGGTTGTAACAGAGTTCTATGTGTGTGTGTAGACTATCGCTACTATATTCGTCGATAGTGATAAGAAGTAATGGAAAATTTAGAAGATCTATGAATTGTGATGATTGATGCAATCGAGATAAATGAGATTAGTTGCAATACGTCACAGAACGAAAAGACAATTGTATCTCATCAACTGGTAACCTTAAGTATCAATTACGTTAGATTGTTTTTTTGAGAGTCAACAAATAATCCTTGTCCCTTGTGCACTGCGGTCACGCTCTCAGATCATATAAACCAACTCTAACCCAATTTCCTTTTCAAGTACTTCTAGAATAACCCTTCCACAGTGTAGGCAACCAGGAAGTGATGACCACCCTTGTACTCTTAACAGCACTGAAGACTGACTGAAAGGATTATAAGTCACACTTTGATTAGATAATTACTTATTTTGTTACCATATTTAGTATGTTTTCACAACTGTCATCTCAAAACTCATATATAAACTCCATTTTTTGTGCGTAGATCAAATTTAGCATAAAGCTTTTTACTCATAATTCACATCTTTTCTTTATTGTTTAGGCTTAAGTGTAAGAGTTGTTTAAGGGGATAAAGGAAGAGGTTAGAAAATTAGCAACGAATGTTTATATACCAGACGTATCAAGTTTTAGTGGGAAGTTGACAGATTGTAGTTATTCTCAACTATCTGTTATGGAATTGTTGAGGGCAGTGAATGCAGCTCAATATCTCAAATGAAAAAACACACATAAATTAATGCTTAAAATGAAATCTTTAATAAAAGCTACATTCTAATATAAAGCGTTCATCTATTGAATGATCAAAAGTGCTGAATATAATATATGTAATAAACATTGTAGATGTTATGAATAGTTAGTCAGAAAATTGTATATCGATTTTACAGAATGGCCTTAAATAAGGTTCATTTAAGCATCATTGGAATAGACAACTATTGAAAACTTGGATGTACTAGATAACTATTTCAGCCTAGCATGATACTGCACAGCAGTGAGCATCGGCGATCCCCAAAACTGAAAATTGAACCGATAAACTTCAGTCTAACACTCAAAGAGATGAATTTTGGCTGGTAATGGCATTCAAGAAATATTTCTTAATTCATCAACGACTCGTCAGCTGTATTTCCTTGAATCTTAGTGTTGTTTTTCCGAATGAGAATGAAATCCTTTAGCTTTAAATATGCAACGTGTTATCCATTGAACTACTGAGTTCAGATAAACATTAAATTGTCCCAAGTGTATGATGTTTAAATGATTAATAGTAAGACTTTGAATTAGCCTATTGAATCCCAAAGAGGACGAAACGCGCACTCTGGACTCCACATGCAGCTAAAGTTCATTTCTTGTAAAATAATGGTAATATTATCGAAACGATTCACACAGGATGTCAACAAACACCAACTAGTATTCAGTCTTGAATATCAATACTAATGATATAAAATAGAAAAAAATGTTCTGCTTATTCACTCACTCACCTTTAAACGCATACGAAACTTTTCAACAATTGTATCTTTATCATCTTTCTCTAAACCTAGTTCTTTTTTAATTACTTTCAATTGTTCTGAAAGCATATAACGTCTGTGTTGTTGTTTAACTTTCTCTTCAACTTCACGACCTATTTGTTGTTGAAGTCGACCTAATTCATATTCTTTTTTAACTAAATTTAATGATAATCGAAGACGTTTATGTATATTCATTTCTTCTAAAACTGCTTGTAATTCTTCTGTATCACCGGCACTACACATTGCGGCTCCTATTCATCAATTGAAAAAAACAATTGATAAGTAAAAGGTACACATGTAAATTATTGTAAGGTATTGTAGAGATGGTTAGATCTGAATTGGTTAAACAATTATTCAAACCTAAAAGGCACTGAGCAGTTATTTTGTTTATGCATGGGAATCCTCAGGGTTCACGACCACAACCCAGTCGGGGATTGAAACCATGACCTTTAAGCTTTACCATAAGATTAACTTCAGACCAATGAGTTGACGTGCGGTGTTTTACATTTATAAATGCAGCCAATTAGCGATATTTTAAGCAAAGTCAGTTCGTGTTGTGAAATCAGTTTTTAATTACGGATTAAAAAGGAAATATATTGCCTCTAGGATGTATCAAGGTTGCTAGATACGTAGCCTACCATAGAACTTAAAAGCACGACAAATGAAGGTTACAAAAATTTATTTTACGGAACTAAGAGCATGTAAGCCTGCTTTAAATTGTTCTCAATTTGTGTCTATACACTTGTCTCGTGTCGATCTCCTTTGTTAAAAATGATCTCTGAAGGTGTCCTTAGTAGTCAGGATTTAAAGCTGATCTCGTTTCCAATTCGCACAAGTTTCACCTGGTCCTCTCAGAAGATAAATTTGCATTTCACGAATAAAAATAGGCTACTACAATCGACTAAATCTAGTGAGCGCCCCCAAATGCTCTCAAATGACCACGCATATATAGCCTCTACCAGGGAAGTCCTACTCAATGCCTTCTAGCATCACGTAAGTTGTTTGCAAAATTGAGAGGAAGAAAAACGAATGTCCGGTGTTTTAACCGGGTCGGTGGACACGTAGAGTTTACCTAGGGGAGTTGTAAAACCCTGATTCCAAACCAATGGTGCACATGGGCTCCAGTACCCTGAGGGAACAAATGGTATATGAACCAATCGCTGGTCACCGGCTACCATGGGACTGCATCTCCTTACGATGCTCCACTGTCTTGTGGATCAGACCTTCAGGTTAAAGGCTCTGGGTGTGGCCCCGTAAGAAAACCACCTGCTTCGGTTTGGGCACTCTGGCAGTATCCCACCACTCAAACAAATCGAATGATTTATGTGGCGCATATCTATTTGGTGCTTTCTTGTACCTATGTTTATGTATTAATAAATAAACAGAAAGTGAGCAGAACAGGATAAATTAGAGTCGTGTTCGAATTGAGAAATAGAAAAACTAGAAGACAGTCACTGTTAAATGAACAGCCATATTTCAGTCATGCAATGTTGTCTTTGTTTGAATCAATCTTCCTAGATCATTACCGATACATCTTCAGAGTGAGCATTTTTATAATTAAAATTATGCTTAAAGTGATTACAAACAGGGAATTGTTGAATCAATGCGCCATATTTAAAGGAATAAACCAATGAATACTGCTAGATAATACATATATACACTTACCTAAATCGCTGAGGTATACAGGATTATCAGCAACACGTTGTCCAGCTTGGAGCATCGCAAGAACATTTTCTCTAATTAATTGGAAAAATGAAAAGAATTTTTTAGAACAGAATAACAATGAGCAAAATGATAGAAAATCTATGCAGTTTATATATTCGAACTTGAAGTATGATTTTTAATGTAAGGGCCGATCAAATCGAAACCGGTTAAGCAAGGTGTAAACTTCCCGTATTACGACTATACTATTTATAAATAATTAGTACTGCTGAGAGGTCCTATGCAAAGACGAAACGGTCGTGCAGTTTTCTCAAGTTTGTAATGGTGATCCAACATTAGTCAGTTCGTCATCTCAATAATTAGTGTTTATTCTTTGTTCAGCAAACGTCAAGTATAAAACCGAAGCCATACTTTGTTTAGTCAATCAGGAAACACAAATATATGATGGCTTACTTTTCACGTTAAAAAATAGAATTTAGGATATGTATTTTAAGATCCTTGAATTACAGCCGACGTCAGTTCGTGATGAAAACTCAAATCTTTATTGCTAAGACGAATTCCTAAGCTTATTTTGATATTTGTTCTGTGAACCGGACAGGGGTTTCCGGTCTCTTATTATTGTGAGCTTAACTTAAACTAATTATGAGTAATTGTAGAACCATTTATTATTCATTTGTTTCTGCATATAAATAATTCGCAGACAGTCAATCAGATACAACTTAGAATCAGGCACATATATACATCGGTCAAAGTTCTCACACCTCATTAGCACAACAAGATGAACACCGGATTCATAGAAGTAATTAATTTAGTGGTGGTAATGTATAAAAGAAAAAATCATATATGGGGAAATAGTACAGGAAGAATGAATTAGTTTGTAGAAAGAAAGATATGAAGTGATTTTAATCTCATAGTTTAAGGGAACATAGAGAGTGTATACACCTATGATGCCATTGTGATCGATTTTGAGCCATGTCACACAGAGTCGCCAACCGTTGGTTACGACAGTCACATGGACCTCAACCAAGCAATCTGCACCTAACAATATGGCTCATACTAAAAGTTAGTGACTTCAATGACTGATGCCATGTTTTGGTTTGGCCGCCCCTAACCATCCACAACACTAATCAGCATTGTGCGTTGTGGTAATCGGTGTTCAGGCATACGTAACACGTGGCTCAACCAAAAACTTTAAGGATGTAATATCAACTATATTAGAACTTACCGATACACAGGATTAAGACTAATTATATCTCGGATTGTCTTTACAATTTCAGCGCTTAAAGCCTAAATAAATAAATGAATAAATAAAGAAAAGATGGAATTTAAAATGTGACTGAAGTTTGATGACTTTCACAAAAGTACAAAACACAAATGAATATATTAATTAATTCATAAAGTGTACATAGACTAACCTTGAAGTAAAGAGTTCGTTTCACACTTTGTACTTTTACTCTTGTGTTCAAGTTGTCGTGTAGATTTAGCTTAGGGTTACTAGAAGAACATAGGAAACCGATTCGAGAATTCCATCAGACGATTTGTCAGTAGCGACGGAGAAAACTACAATGAACATTTCTTTTGAAAAACTAGAGGCCTATATAGAGCGTCAGGAGAAAAGGTTTGAACAGTCTCAAATAAGATTCATGGAAGCTCTTATGCAGAAAATGTACACGTTCCCCGCTTCCGGTGAACTACAAGTAACACATACTGATTCAGTCATGAATGTCAACCATGAATTTAACTTTGATGACCTAGCAGGTTTTACTTTTGGGTCATGGTTCAAGAAATATGAAGATCTGTTGGATATTGATCTCTGGAGACTGGGTGACGCTTCAAAAGTCAGAATAATTTTAAGAAACTTGGAACTAAAGAACATGAACACCATAGTAACTTCATTCTTCTAAAGAACCTACAGGACTTTTGTTTTGATGAAACAATTAAAACCATATCTCAGATCTTTGGAAAGCAGTCATCTCTTTTTAATATCCGTTACCAAGGCTTGGAGATAACGAGAGAACCAGCAGATGGCTGGGCGAACTGAGAATGTGAGAGGTTCGAGTTGTCTTCTATAACAAGACAAGATTGAGTGTCTTGTATTTGTCTATAGCCTGTATTGATCCGAGAATGCGGATATCCGAACAAGAATCATAAGCAAACTCGAACATTGTCCCAGCATGACCCTACAGAAAGTAACTACTGAATTTGAAGCATGATACCTCGATGGTAGAGAACGATAACCAGTTTCTTCAGGTCAATGCAGTCAACAGAAAGGTCTTGCAAGGTTTTAGCAAGCAGAATTATCGAAATGACAGTGGCAAGCCATCATCCCCATGCTGGCTGCGTGGTGGTTGACATTTCAAAGGTTTTTGTCCGTTTAAAAATCATCGTTATACTACATGTTCTAGAAAAGGGCATAAAGAAAGTCATCGTAAAATCCGAAAATGTCGTCAACAACCGAAAGAATATTCTAAAGGATTTAATTTGCGAACAACCAAAGTAACAATAGAACTTAACACGGCCGGCTCACATAACCGAAGAAAATGTGCTTACAGATGGACATGGCTCCCAATACAATACATGATAAGATATTAAGAGAAGTTAGGGGTTATTTTCTCACCACGTGACCAAACCGTCATTTTCAAGGAGAACTGCCACAACATTTTCGCCGGCGGGACTTATGATTGTCGACTCATTTGTTACGTTCAGTGACAGAATCGTTGTTCCAAAAACATTGCGCCGAAAGGTTCTGGAACAATTACACAGCGGCCATCTCGGCATCAACTAGATAAAATCATTGGCTCAAAACTATGCTTACTGACCTACAATGGGTCACGATATCGAAACTAGATGCCATAATTGTTCATCGTGCCTACAAGCAACCAAAAATCGACCTTTGGTCGTATCACGGTATTTGGCGGTTGACTATATTACTGATTAAATATTAACCTAGATGGAGTGTTTTAAGTTGAAATTTCACATCTCGATTCATTAAGTCAAACGCTAGGCGTATATATCACAAATCACAACGACAACAACATAGAAAAAATTAGGAAAAAAGAACAACATAATGTTAATCCTATCATTGACATTACCTTAATTTCTTGTGTATTTTCATACAGATCATGGTAGAGATTAATTGTTTCACCAATTAAAACTGGTGAAGAAGCACCAAGATCAACGTTATCCAATAATGTGGAAGCACTGGAACTACTACTACTACTACTCCCACTAGTGTTGCTATCTGACTGATTTTCACCTTTTATAGATGTTGTATCTTCCGAAGATGGTGGTGGTGATGATGATGTTTGATTATTTGATGGTTTAGAATTTAAAGATTCTGTAAGTTTGACCGCTGCACGTTTAACGCGTCGAACTAAACTGTTACGTTTCCCGACTGCTTCATAAAATGCATATAAAGTAGAATAATGATAAATTAAAATGAAACATAGAGAAGAATGAATACAAAAATTCAGACCAATCGGTCACTGGGTGAAAAATAATTTCATGTTTAGAATGTACTGAAAACAGCTCTGAAAATAGCTCTAGCAATTATCACTTTAAATTAGTCACTAGAAAATATAAAATAGATTTTAAGTAGAGTTATGGAAATTGTTGCATTTTATAGTTTTACATTGTGGGTTAACCCCAATTAGAAAATCATCGGGAACCCGGTAAAAATGGGTAATCATTTTATCTCAGTATGAAACTATCCACAAAGGTGAGCATCCACAACCGCCTCAAGGGTCGAACCCAAGGATTTAAGGTCTTGCGGCAAGTGCTTGACCTTTATACCACTGAGTTTTATTTCAATGGTTTACATTTCTAACCTCAGTCAATATGCGATAGTGAGTTACCATTGTCCACTCTTATAGGTGATGCTTTTCTCATCCCTGACATGGTTGAGCAGTCGTAACCAACAGAGTTTGGCCATGTTAGGGATTAGATTAACATCATCAATAGTAATTGCGTATTTCTCGAATTACTAGTGCTAACAGAATTCTATCGACCAAACGGGTAATGTGGCCTCTAATCAAAGGACAGTATAAAACAAAGTGTATTAACATATCTGGTTCAATGCTGAAAATAGTTGTCAATATCCATGGATATATCGATTATTCGAATATACCACGTGTTCCTATGACAATATCCATGCAGTATAAATCTCTTATACAGTGATACAATCGATAATAACTAAATCATGCTGATTGAACCGTAATCTGACCGATTTCTCATTAATCATTTTTTGCTATCACACCATTTTGAGGAGTATTATCATTGCTATTCGGCTATTCAAATAGAAGTAGATGATTCGAAGCAGGACAAACAATCTAGTGGTTAAACGTCGAATTTATTGTTCTAACATTAAACAATGAATTTGAGCCTAAGTTCAGCTTTGTTAATTCTGTTTAATGTATGTACCATATCTTTCCTATTAATTTTTTTATTATATTATGCTACTTATTAATATTAAGTAGCTTATACAATTATCCATTATTTTTGAGTATGTAGAGGCTTAGTGTCCTATTATTGCTGTTTAATATTTCTAAGTATTCACATGAATCTGTGACATTTAATTCATCAATTATTGTAATCATATTCTCTTAACATTCTTAACAATTCCTTTCACTGAAAATTTATTTATTTGTGACAATAAAGATACTTTGCATGAATAATTTGGAATTGTTGAATGAACACAACTACTAGGTGTTACTTCTTCGATCATACCTTGACGCTTATAAATGCTTAAGACAATTCAAGAATTGAGGTCTGTAGAATTTATCACTGATACAATCATTCTAATAAAAAAATATCGAGTCTTGGATACAAATTACTGTTACACTCAGTGGGGGATAGGCCGCTAACCGATGTATACAAATACGTTGGTTTTATTTGAGAATTTATGGGTTACTCTGTCGTTCAGTTTGAATATCCAAATGGATTTAAAAACGCTACGTTAGTTCACATAACCATTTCGTTTTATACTAATGCTAACGAAAAGATAGTAGGGTTTGATAATCATATACTCCAACATGTATTTGGTTATTGAGTTATTCTAAATTATATCAAACATACAACTTCAACGTAGAGTATAATATAGATGTATGTTAGCCCATGTTCTCATATCTGAATGACACGATGAGATGATAATGACAAAATAGATCGAAATAATGTAGTAGCAATAATAAAAACGAAAGACTAAACATTATGAATATGGTTTGAGCGGATAGAGTGGAAACGTTTGTATGAAGGGGATTCTGAAAATCAAGATTCAGGACAAGATAAGGAGTGAATGTATTTGCATCATTGTGAACGATTCTCACATTATTACTGTATACTAACCTGGCAAGCTGATCTCTTCTTCTACATTATCCTCTACAACTGGACGAATCAGTTCAATGCTAAACACAATATACATCATTTATAAGAAAGGTAATTAGAATTGATTTACAATAAAGGAAAGTAAAAAATGAAGAAAAAATCATTACGAGAAAACTTAACAATTACATTTAGTCAGTTATATGCAACATAGTAACTGATACATATGTGTATCGATTCAAATTGTTATACAACATTAACACAACGAAACAAAATTATTACAAGACAAATACTAGAGTGTTAGAAGTAATAGCAATATCAGAAGTAGTAGAAAAGACTAGGTATAGTAAAAAAAAAGGTACAGGGTTTTGGGACTTAGATTCTAAAGGAAGAAAGTCAGTGTGCTGTTACCGGTATGAGGACTGGTGTCACTTCCCGGCTGCCCACACCGTGGAAGGGTATTTCTTGAGGAACCTGAAAAGGAAGTAGGATTAGTGTTGGCCTTAACGACCTGGGTGCGTGACCACAGAGCCCAAGGGACAGCTGCTTGAGGCCGGTCGCACACGGCCTCTTTTTGGGAGGTTTTTAATGTGTTAGCCTCGTTCTTCAAAGGGCCTTACCGCCGGAGACGGAAGTCCGTGAGGTAAGGTGAGGTGTGACATTTTTGGGGTCGACCATTTCTAACCTCTTCCTTCCTTGTGAAAAGGCAGCATCGCTGCAAACTACATCAATAGTTATGGACTTTATTTATTCATCCATTATAATAGTGTTGAGGCCAGTTACACACACAACAGTTTTGTGAATAGTAGTAGTAGTAGCTTTGCACTTGTTGGACCTTACTTTTAGAGACAAAAATCTATGGGCTACCGTGTGATTTATTTTTTGGTCTACAGATCGCCTGTCAGAAACGGTGGAACTTTAAGGAACAACCGTTTCAGTTAATATAAATCAACTTGGTCATCATGATATGCAAAATCATCATCTACATCAGGGTACCTAGCTACCAACAACTAAAGACACTGTACATAGGAGCATAGTATTGTAGATATGACACTTGAAATATAATACTAGTACAAATGATAGATGATAGAAGACTTCAAATATATGTTAACTGTACACGGATGTAGTGAATAACAAACATACGGTATCAGTGGTAATATAAAAGATCAGACATAGAAGATATGCTTCAAGAAAATACAAATTGGTGAAATGCGAACACAAAAAGGTTATGAGGTATTTAGATGCTCAGAATTCGAGGGAAGACAAGAATGGATGCACCTACGCCATTGCAAATGGTTTTGAGCTGTGTCATTCAAACTTTCAAACCACTGGTTACCATAATCAATGCAGACCCCAACCAGGTAACAAACACTTATTAACATGCCTTAGTTCAATTGTCAATGACTGATGCCATATTCGGTTTACTCTCCCTTGGCTTTCTCCGAACCAACTCCTACGCCAGAAAACGTCGCCCGTCAAGGTGGGCGGTAGTTGGGGACACGTATTGACAGCCTGCCTGAGTATCTGGGCTACCTGTTCCTGTCATCTAAATATTTTAAAAAGTTATCTGTTTGTTTTGTTTGTCTTAACACATCATCATGTCAATTAATCACATAATCTATTCAAGTGCGTTTATGAAGATAAAAACTCATGACATTTCGGTGTGCAAGTTCCAAAAAAGTACAACCATCAGAGAGGCATCCTGGTGGCTGGCAATATGCATTAAAAAAGAATGACCACTATTCAGATGTCGATTCCTGAAACTGCTAACATCTAACCGACGACCACTCAATATGTTATCGTCAGGATTGATCAATAAATAAGAAACGGCAACTTGTTGAAATACTTTGTGCTGAGGATTCTATATTCTACCAAAAATACATTATATTGGATAAAGCTAATAAATAATAATAATAATAATAATAATAATAATAATAATAATAATAATAATAATAACATACCAACCAATCTCAGTTGATGAAGATTTACTACCACTTCAATCGGTTTGCCATCCTTACACAGTATTCTATCCCTAACCCGGAGATTCCTTAATCAGTGGTCCCAAAATACATGAGCTATGCTTCGAAGACACCTATGATTAAATACTAGCATCATAAGAATATCCTCTGTTCTTAATGACTATGTTTCATACCCAAAACGTAGAACGGACAGAATCACTGCACAGTAAACTCGTTCTGTGGTTGACAGACGGGTATCTCGCCTACGCCACAACTGACAGAAATGGACAAAAACCAACCGAGCCTTCTGAACCTGTGTCAAAAATTCGTCATACGCCAGACCATCAGGACTGATGAGACTCCTAAGATAAGTGAAGAGGTCGATGCGTTCGACTACTTCACTTCCTATCAATAAATTAGACAACGACGCAAGTCAATCCTGAAGCAACATTTTGGGTTTGGAAGGAAAGAACCGCATCACGAACATTGTTGCTTAAGGTGGTCAGAAAACTGCATTGTCAGCGCCTTCGCCAAACAGAAATATACCGTCTGTGTATTCTAAGTCAACAAGTGAATCTCCTGGTGGAAGATCAACCCCTGAAAAGCCAGACAATAAGTGTTAGCGCTTAAAGCATGAAAAATCCCACCCCCCTTCAAATGACTAATCATCATAAAACAAAAGTTCTAACAGTGTAAACATCGAAAAAAAACAAGAACGACAAGGGAAACACAGTTGATAAACAAAAAACTAACCGACGATGTCCAATAACTAGTAGTCGAATTTTCGAGCCTAAATCATCCCATTCAGGAATGTGTACAAATGTGCCAACTCGATGCAATTCATCCATACTATTTGCGACATCTGACTGTCTACAAGAAGTATCAAAATCAAACGGGTGAATTATAAACAAGTAATGGGTAATGCTAAGATAAATAGTCATTTAAAAACAGAATGTCTATGTGTTATATCCGAACGAATAATAAATGAGTAGTAACTGCTAGGATCTACTTATGGACTAATATTATACGAATATAACTATTTAGTAACTTTATTATATATATTCATATTCCTCTTGTTATAGGCCTCAGTTTGACCTATTGACGATTTACTATTCTTTAGTTATTCCCAATTTATTAGTTATAGTCTCTCACACTCACAGCTAGTTTTAGCTTAATCTTGTATAATCATTGGTTTTTATTTTATGATATGATGTGATCTGGTCTGTCTGTATGGAAACTACGTATGTCTGAACCATACGATTCATAAGGTGGAGGCTGATGTTTGCGTTCTGAACTGAACGGGCTGAGCCAGGCGAAAAATTACTATACGGAGGACCAATAAAGACTCAGGGTTGACTCAAGAATTCTCGTTCTGGTTAGCGCACCATTGGTTTAGTACAAGGACAAGATCATAGGAATCGGCATTCTGATTGCCGAGTTTTGTTACGTGATATTTAACGGGCCATAGGACAAAAAATTGTGTACTTGGCTTTGAGCTACATCCTAAGTAAGTGATACTACTGCTTGATGGATCAAAACAGAATTAAATGGAGAGCAAGGTTTCGATCTGTAACATGGTGTCTAGAAATCAAACCACTATGAAATGGAAATAAACCTTAGTAATTCAGAATTTGAAGATGAAATTAGAGAAATAGGTAGTAATTTACCATACAAATATCTTTATATAAAAATTTATGACATAAATCTCCAACTGTGGTGATAATGAATCTTATCATTTGAAGTACTATGAAACAGGAATAGTGCTAAGACTACTTAATCATTTACAGATAACATTTCTAAATGTAATCAGGAACAACAAAAACAAATTACAAGAGGAGAATTCATTCATACATATGTAATTTGTTCGTATCCATTTATGGAATGAGCTACATCGGTTTTGAATTGAAATGAATCGTGTAAACATCCCAACTAATTATGTGTGCAATTAAATGCTTTCATATTTTAAGAAATTATTTATTTTGTATGACCTGGTACTACCCACAGCGGGGAGAGTTAGCTCTCCCTCTCCAAATGCTCTCACATGGCCACGCGTATATAGCCTCTGTCAGGGAAGTCCTACTCAATGGCCTTCTTGTACCACGGGTGTTGTTTACAAAATTGAGAGGACGAAAAATGAATGTCCGGTGGTTTAACCGGGTTGGCGGACACGGAGAGTCCACCTAGGGGAGTTGGGAAACCCTGATTCCAAACCAATGGTGCACATGGGTTCCAGTACCCTGAGGGAACAAATTACGTGTGAGCCAATCACTGATCACTGGCTACCATGTGATTGCATCTCCTTACGATGCTCCACTCCTCTGTGGACCAGACCTTTAGGTCGAAGGCTCCGGGTATGGTCCTCTAAGAAAACTACCTGCTTCGGTTTGCGCACCCAGGCAGTATCACAGCACCCACACATATCAAATGAGATTTGTGTGTCGCATATGCATGTGCTGTCCTATTGTACCAGTATTTATGTTTTCAAATAAATAAGTAAATAAAATGCTTAATGAATCTGTTAGGATGTTCAGAAAAATATACCAATAATTATCGTGTTAAGTCTAATGGTGGCCTTGGACGTTATATGGACACTCCCTATTAGTCGATATTTATTTCACTTGTTAAATATTGTGTAAATGTTGTTTTCTATTTTATGGTACGATGTGGTTTGTTTGGTTGGTATATAAACAGAGTATGTTTGAAATATAATGATTCATATCTCAGAGGCTGTGACTTGCGTTCTGGACTCAACTGGCTGGGCTAAACAGCGAAACAGGGCCAGTCGGGACTCTAGGTCGTTCATTACGTGTTTACGTATCACTGAATCGATCGATAAATACGCTGCGCATCTAACCTGCAGTCCCACCCGTTACTACAGAATTATCATCTAGTTGATGTTTAGAGATTTTCGTTTGAGTATCTCTAAACTTCTTAACCTTGTATGAATGCAAGTTACTAACCGGTTTTTGCAGGAGTCAGCAATTTATTGTGTTAAAGCAGAGATAATGACTAGTAATGGAATCCAAAACCTAAATTTTTATTTTCTATTTAGGACTTGTTTGTTGAATCCACCTTCATTCCAGTGTTTGATGTTCACTTTGAAACTCGAACCCAGTAGCGGAGTGAAGCGCAGGTGTATTCAGTTAATGATCCCTAGTTTTTTTTAAAAAAAAGAGGTGATAGAAACTATGACTTACTCTGTATTTGGTTTCTTTAAAAATATTCCCGCATATGGAGCATTCAATTTGATTTTTCGACGAATAAGAGTTATCAGACGTGGATCAGTGATCTTATAAATTTTTTGTTGGAAAATAAACGAAAAAAATCACAATGAAATGATCATGATCACAGGAGTGGTAGGATTATAATTTATGGACAAATCAATCAGATTTAGGATAACAGATCTTGGCTTTTTGGAGCGAAATTCATATATCCGTTTGATTAAATAGCGTTTTGGTATATTTAGCTGATGTCAGTTTGTGATGAGAACGATAAATCTAATTCCTAACCTTAACCATTAACTGTGAATCATAATCTTTATTCCTCACACTGGTTTATAACTTTCATTTAAGTCTAGCAAATAAGGTGAACATTCTCAAAGTCACTTTAACGTCGCTTAAAGATGGTCCATAAATTACAGCCTTACTAAAGAAGTTATTTTTACTTAGATACAGATTATGTGAATATATGTCAAGTAAAGCCTTTCCCAAGAACTCTTGAATCGATCAGCGCAAGTGAACCCACCCAATATCGAAGCAGCACCCACGGACCTCCCAATCAATGTTGGCCCACCAACAATTGAAGAAATCAGCATGGCCATCAGACAAATCAAGAGTGGCAAAACAGCAGGACCAGAGAACATTCCAGCAGAGGCAATGAAAGCAGATGTAGCGGCAACTGCAAGGATACTCCACATTCTCTTCAATAAGATTTGGGATGAGAAACAAGTGCCAACAGACTGAAAAGAAGGACTTGTGGTCAAAATACCAAAGAAACGCGATCTCAGAAACTGTGATAACTACAGGAGCATCACTTTTCTCTCAATACCCGGAAAAGTCTTCAATAGGGTATAGTTAAACAGAATGAAGGACTCCGTAGACGCTCAAATTCGGGACCAACAGGCAGGATTCCGTAAGGATGGATCGTGTACAGACCAAATCGCAACTCTACGGATCATTGTGGAACAATCAATTGAATGGAATTCATCACTCTACATCAACTTCATTGACTACGAAAAAGCATTTGACAGCGTGGACAGGACAACACTATGGAAGCTGCTTCGAGTCTACGGCGTGCCTCAGAAGATAGTCAATATCATACAGAATTCATATGATGGATTAAACTGCAAAGTCGTGCATGGAGGACAGTTGACAAAGTCGTTCGAAATAAATACCGGTGTCAGGCAAGGTTGCTCACTCTCACCCTTTCTCTTTCTCCTGGTGATCGACTGGATCATGAAGACGTCAACATCTGAAGGGAAACACGGGATACAACGGACATCTAGGATGCAATTGGACGATCTACACTTCGCAGATGACCTGGCCCTTCTATCCCAAATGCAACAACAAATGCAGGAGAAGACCACAAGTGAGACAGCACTAGGTCTCAACATACACAAAGGGAAAAGCAAGATTCTCCGATAAAACACAACATACACCAATCGAATCACAATTGACGGAGAAGATTTGGGAGATGTAAAATCCTTTATATATCTGGGCAACATCATTGATAAACACGGTGGATATGATGCAGATGTAAAGACGCGAATCGGCAAAGCAAGAACTGAATATCTACAATTGAAGAACATCTGCAAATCAAAACAACTGTCAACCAACACCAAGGTCAGGATTTTTAATACAAATGTCAAGACAGTTCTCCTGTATGGGACGAAAACCTGGAGAACTACGAAAGTCATCATCCAGAAGGTGTTTATTAACAGTTGTCTACGCAAAATACTCCGGATCCGTTGGCCAGACCTTATCAGCAACAACCTACTATGGGAGAGAACAAACCAGATCCCAGTGGAAGAAATCAGGAAGAAGTGCTGAAACTGGATAGGACACACATTGAGGAAAGCACCCAACTGTGTCACAAGACAAGCTCTCACATGAAATCTTCAAGGCCAAAGGAAAAGAGGAAGACCAAAGAACACATTACGCCGGGAAATGGAAATAGACATGAGAAAAATGAACAAGAATTGTATAGAACTAGAAAGGAAGGCTCAGGACAGGTTTGATTGGAGAATGCTGATCAGCGGCCCATGCTTCATTAGGAGTAACAGGTGTAGGTAAGTAAGTAAGTAAAGCCTTTCCCAAATTATCTATTAAGTTCATATCACATTAACTGTGTATAAACCTGTTGGATAAGTTGTGCATCAGATATTGTGTAATACTACTCATAACAACAATATAAAAAAACAACCTGTTTTTATGAAGAAATAATTCCTAAAATGTGTAGTTATGAGACGTCAAGAAACAAAGTGGCCATTGGAATAAAATATCCGTGTGGAATAGATAGATCAAGTAATCTATCACGATCTGTATATAAATTTAATACCTCTTAATGCATTAAGACTCAATAGTAGTTGAGTCCTATCAGTTAATTCTGACCAGTAACACCGAGATAACTATTTGGGATGGTATAGCTATTCATGTTTTCCTCAACCTTCTCTACAAAGAAATGTGGTTGGAGCAAATTTTGTAGCTATTTCCTTACGTGTTGTGTCGGTATCAGTTATAGATAACATAGTAAATATTTTGATTGGTTCAAAGCTGCCTCGAAGTGATCTAAAAAAACAAACATCTACAACCGATGATAAGATTCGAGAGAAACAAATAGAAAGCATAACATAATTTCGAAACTCACAATCCAGGAGAACACAATGAATCTATACATATGAGAACCACGTCCCACAATGTTTCCAACTATTCGTCAGAATAATTGTACCCCGACTAGATAGTTGAGATCTATCAACACGGTTATCCAGCAGTCAACAGTTTCATGGTCTGATAGTGTGGCTTGGTGTGGCTATCTTAGCTTTCGCCAAACTTACTCTTACTTCAGATATCTCATTAGACTTCGAGGTATGTGGTAGCTGAATATATGAAATACAATCCAATGAAGTTTCATAATCTTATCCAACTGTGTGCTAGGTTCAAAGAGAGTTGTATGCTATATGCATGCAAATCCACCCCGTTATTGTTCCATAGCCACCAAATGCTCTGGTACGGTCTAGAGTGGGGAGAGACCGCTCTCCCTCTCTAAATGCTCTCACATGACCACGCGTATATAGCCTCTGCCAGGGAAGTCCTACTCACTGCCTTCTCGTGGCGGGGGTGTTGTTTACGAAAATGAGAGGACGAAAAGCGAATGTCCGGAGCTTTAACCGGATTCCGAACCAATGGTGCACATCAGCCCCAGCATCCTGAGGGAACAAATGGTGTATGAACCAATTGTTGGTCACCGGCTTCCATGGGACTGCATCTCCTTACGATGCTCCACTGCCTTGTGGATCAGACCCTCAGGTCGAAGGCTCGGGGAGTGGCCCCCTAAGAAAACCACCTGCTTCGGTTTGGGCACCCAGGCAGTATCACAGCCCTCACACATATCGAATGAGATTTGTGTGGCGCATCTGATTTACTTATTGTCTCGTATCTAATCTCGACACTGCTTACTCAGGCGTCTCAACAAACCCAAATGATGTTTCGAAGACATGTATTACCAAATACTAGTAAAGTAGGTGTCACGTAGGGATAGGCGCATGTAGACAGTCAACAGAAGAAAAGAAACGTAGGATATGACACAACCGTTTATTTTCCTTACTTGGGATAACGAATTAATAAAATGAATAGCAAAAACTTGAACATCAGGGACGGTGATAGTAAGAAAGAATGAGTTTTAAGAATACGGCTCGAAAAGAAGGAATTTCAGAATTGCAAGTGTAAATTACGAAGAAAGATTACGGATAAAAATTTCACCTGCACCAATACAGTCAATCTTGTGCCATGTCAATCGTTACTTCCGTCTGTACACTATAGTTATTTTATGGACCAGGACTGTGAATCATATATTTTTCTATGCGACCTAGTATATATCTCTTTATTAATTGATCCCATGCACTGATCTAGTCACATTTAGTCTTTTTTAACTTATTTATGTGTTGACCACTATAACACATCACGTTAGCGTTATGACTTGGTACGAGTAACAACACATGGTTCAATCACCAAAGACAATACGTTAAATGGAGAACTTTTTGTTTGAATATACATCGCTCTTTCACTATCTCTTATAGGACCATTTGCTTAATATATATCCTACATAGTGGAAATATGATTCAGTAAGGCTGAATTATTTGAGCTAGGTGGCAATTTATTAAAACATTTTTGTTTTTCTGGATAATAGTCATAATATTTAATGTGACCATCCACCAGGTGGTCGGGTATGAGCCATACTCTAAGTGTGAAGACTAATGACACGACCCGGATGCTCAAATCAAAGTAGGTGAAGCGGTGCTAAGACGTGGGACTTAGTTGCCAATGCCTAAGCGAGTTAACTAATAAGCCATCGTTTGAGATAAAATCATTGATATTTCTCCAACAGGTGAAATGATAGTTTATTCTGTTGAGATATGCATAAGAACCATTTGGATTAATCTCATCAGACCTAGTGGAATCTCGGTACGGATATAGAGAGCCCGGTTGGTATTTGCCAAATTTGTCAATTATGGTGTAGACAAGATGTCTGTTTGTTAACCAAAGTGTGTATATTGTGCAGGGGTCTGTTCTACTATATAGTTGTGAAACAGTCTATTAAAGTAGAAGACATGTGTGAGGTAAAGGTTTTTGATCATACGTGTCTTTGAAGGATTGCGCACTTTCCGTGAAACGAATGGGTGAGCCATGTTGAGGTCACACATATAGTACTTGGCAAAGTGGCGAATCGGTTGGTGAGGTATTTAATCCTCATAAACTGTGTTGATCAAGACAGATTTTATGTATGCCTAACCACTGCCTAGCACGAAGAGCGACGCTTGCTAGTGCAGGAGTCATTGAGCCATGTTAGTAAATGCAAACTACCTGGTTAGGGTCTGAAATAACCACGATCAGTGTCTAGAAACTTTAATTGAAGTAGTTCAGAGCTGTTCGCAATGGTGAGGAGTCATTTACTCTTCCTCTGAATTGCGAATCCCAGTGTCTTTTCACACGTACCTTTGAACTCTTTCCACTCAAACCACATTCTTAAGGTCTAATCTTTCAACACATGTATCTCAATAGATAAACACGTAATGTTCATTTGAAATGATACCTATTGATAACTATGCGTATACCATACATACGTACATACATACATACCTCAATCATTTTAACAAATTTTGGGAATAACGGTGAACCAGATATTGCAATCACCGGTACAATAGGGAAGTTCTCTGGGATATTTTGTGGAGACAATGCTAATGGTGGAACTGCGGGAGGAAGTGGCGTAGATGATGGATCAGATTCATTTGTATTTGAAGTAGGTAAGCCATCTGGATCAATACCACTATCATCGTCTGACGAACCTTTTCCCGATGAAGTTGAAAATGCATTTTTTGGTATGAATTGGATCTATAGATTGTTTTTTTTAAAGTAATGAACAGAATATTTGAAAAGATATGACGAGTGATAGATAGTTTAATTACTAAACAATAAACACAAATTTACAAATCGTAAATTTCATAATCACTGGAACTTAATAAAAACAACAACTACAACAACTGTAAAAGTATAACCTCACTATTATAATGGATATATGAAACTCATTTACCTAATAGAGACTTATGTACTCGGCTTTGAAACATACTAACCAGTTATCCGGACCAACGTGGATAAGATTAGATTTAAACATATGGGCCCATTTAAGTCTAATGCTTCAACAGCTGAATTACTACCCCATAACGATGGACATAGGACAAACTGCAATAAGTGTCCGGAATGGATAACTTTTCGAGAAAGAAACCAAATTTAATATGTATAGATGTGTTAAGTAGTGTTCAGATAATTTTGTTGGTTTTTGTCACTATTTGTTGTTCTCAAAATGCATATATCATGACTATGAAATCGATTGCCCCCAAATGCCCTGGTACGGTCGAGAGTGGGGAGAGTCCGCTCTCCCTCTCGAAATGCTCTCACATGGCCACGCGTATATAGCCTCTGCCAGGGAAGTCCTACTCACTGCCTTCTCGTGGCGGGGGTGTTGTTTACGAAAATGAGAGGACGAAAAGCGAATGTTCGGCGCTTTAACCGGATTCCAAACCAATGGTGCACACGGGCTTCAGTATTCTGCGGGAACAAATGGCGAATGAACCAATTGTTGGTCACCGGCTTCCATGGGACTGCATCTCCTTACGATGCTCCACTGCCTTGTGGATCAGACCTTCAGGTCGAAGGCTCGGGGTGTGGCCCCCTAAGAAAACCACCTGCTTCGGTTTGGGCACCCAGGCAGTATCACAGCCCTCACACATATCAAATGAGATTTGTGTGGCGCATATGTATTTGGTGCCTCCTTGTACCAATATCTATGTGTTGAAATAAATAAATAATAAAATGAAATCGATTACAGACACAAGCGAAATTAAGCAGGGTCATTTACCGAACTTAACATCCTCGAAAGTAATTTTTCTAACTTTGTGATCTCTTAATATACATAATCAGTCATCAGGATATAGTCTATCAGACCTCGTTAGACCCCATTTTGTCACTGCAGTGCGCTTGGACTAGACCACAAAAGGTAGTTTAGCTACATATGCGAGGAAGTTATAGGTTAACAGATTATCCAGCTGATGCCCAGGGTAGTGTCTCAACAATAAACTAGGCATAAAAAGACTAATAACTGAAATTAAGTACTTGCTAATTGTGATTATCCTTAAGCTTGATTTTAGACATTGAATAAAGCGTAAGCAGTTTGGAAGAGCGAAATAAACCTCCACAATTTATGTAAATTAGAAGTGCTCTATTATATATTTAAATCAAAGTAGAAGTGAGCTGACTACATGATAACGAAGGACATTTTATATAATACTGTAGTGAACGGTGACTTAGTGTGGAATACCAAGTTATTGTTTGAAGGAATATTATACGGTGCCTTCGTAAAACATGTAAATCATACATTACATACATTATTTGTACATCTTCCTTCAGTTATCATTTACGTACTTCATAACTCCTTGAATTCTGTTGTTATCCAGATTGCTCTCCATTTCCCATCCTCTTCTTTTTAATTTGTTTTTATGCTAGCCAGCATTCCACTTCCGACTGCTGCTAGATACTACTTATATCTGTCAGCATAAGTAGCTTACACCACAACAGTAAACAATTGTAAGTTGTTCTCAAGTTTAACTTACTATGAGTTAACGAGAAGATAATCTAATAATGTAAGTCCTAATGATCTGTGCACCGATGCATCTATATGTATTATGAGATGGTAAAAATGTGAACGTAAGTAAAGTGACTATTATACAACTCTTCCTATTTTGGCTTGTGATCATTACTCTCCGGATATTGTTATTAACAGGTAAGTCTATAACAAAACAGGATTTAAATGCTGTACAACAGTGATACGGTAAACGATCACATCTGGATTATAAAAATCATCATTAGATTATTAAAACTACTTTTTTTTGATAATACGAATAAAGTATTACTACAAAGCATAAATTTGTGTATGGTGTCTTCAATCTAAATATTGGAAACAAATATTGTCCTAAAGTACAGACCAAAGGCTATATTATTAATTTCGAAGTTACACAGATAACTACTATTTACAGGTTTGGTTGAGGAAACTTTGATGTTAAAATCTAAAGGATATTAAAGATCCCTAATGATCACACCAAATATGAGCAAAGGTAAAGAAAATCATACTCTTGAGAAACAAATAAACAATTTGACGATTTTGAAGTAAACAAAGATATCTAGAAATACGAAAAACGTCAGAGTCTTACCTGAGACGACGGTAATTTCAACATTGACGTGTCCAAAAGCTGATTGCGCTGTCCTCCAAAGTATGCAATACAAGGTGCACAAGTAAACTTCGAATGCTGAATATAGCAAACTTTTCCAAATTTAAGGGCCCTCAAGCCATTTATACAACCTTTTCTTAACATTTCCTTTCTAACTAACTGGTTGAATTTTTAAGCAAGCAATACCGATCCTCCAAGGGTCAGTCTATTAAGTAACAAGTGAGGAGAATTCAGTTTAAAAAACGTCTATCGTCTGAGAGGGTTAATTCAGATGAAGTCTATTCATAGAGAACTAGCATACATTTCTGACCCTTTAAACAAACATAGTATTCGTAGTCTCCAGGCTTGATGTGACAATTGAATACAATATAAATACAATAATCAAAATTTGGGTTACTTTCAATTCAACTTTTGGTTTATATATCCTAATGTCAGGTAGTTAGAGGCAATCACTAAAAAGTGGCAAACTCAGGTCTCGTGTAATATAGTGCTTGTAGTTACGAGATATCTTAAATTTTGAGAAGATATGATCCCCGTGCGGTTCAGATCTGTGTTGTCCGGTCCCAAAAATAGAAATGTTATCACTGACCTATTCCGGTGGTGACTGATTTATCTTTTGTTTCCTCTAGGATAGATCTTTACACTGACTAGTAACTACTTAGTAACTATTGTTGTGTTTTGGTTTTTAATGATGGTCGGATTCGACAAATCAAGTTGCGGTGTGGCTACTAATTAATTTAGCATACTTGAGGATCAAATTTAACTAATGGTTTTTGAGGTTGGTAATATTAACGATCTGCATAGTTACGCTACTGAAAAACCGCCTAGAAAACCCGTTTTCGTAAAAAAGATGGTATTTTGGTAGTTCAGTAACATAAATATACCAGACTGACGGATTACACGATAGACTATTATCATCCTTTGAGAAGATTTGACAAAGGACCAGCTAGTTTACAAAAAATTCTCGTTTCAGATTTGATTTATAAGTAACTGAAAAGATACTAATTAATCCTATATTAGAAGCAAAATATGCACCTTGTATCTAGTTATTAGTCTTCCCACTTGATTAGCAAAATTACCAAGACTTTGAAGAGTTAATTCGAAACCAACTGATCGGTAACACAGAAACATGCAAACTAATGATAGGAATTTCTGGGTTTGCACTGACCAGACATTGTTTTGATGGAAACCTATGAGAAGTGATAATGCACAAGTCACGACCTAAGAAAAAGCTGACAGAAAATTTTGTAGCTTGATACTTTACGTACGCCAGACGTCATATGAAATGTTACACTCAAGTGTTCAGTTTATATATCAGAGATCATGACAATAATTTTAAGCTACGTATGCTGAATAAGTAACTAATCAACGAGTACATAGAGAGATGAGATGAATTCAAAATATATATACCTAGCCATTTCTGAGGCAAGAAATGTTAAAAGAATGTACCAGCAGACTCACTACAGCCGGTGTTCCTAAAATAAAACAACTTAAACTTGTCGTCAGAAATAGCTTTAACTAGGAAGGACAAAACAGCATGGCTATAAGTATACTGGATTAAAGGTATATATATATATATATATATATATATATATATATATATATATATATATATATATATATATATATATACCGGTAGTTATACTTGTGGAAGACCTTTGCGTGACACTAAAGTGACTGTGTAGCAACTTACCTACTTCCTAAGGTCAAGATAGTGTTATAAATTAGTCTGAGGATTTAAGAATAGGATTTGGAGTTAGAGTTCGGAGATAGGGACTAAATCCGACGAACGCAAGCTATACGGCAAAAATGAAATTTGATTATGTGGATGAATGGACTTTGCACGAGAACCCAAGATCTGCTAACCTCAATTTCATTGGTTCGTCCAGTGTCAGCCAACAGTCTTATGATAGTAATAGCGGAATATGAAAGTATGATAAATGTAACGAACAGAGCTAGTGAATTGAAAAAGAAACGCTGAAAGTTTAGAATCACTGGATAAGAAGTGGTGGCATTTGCTAAAATCTATCTATACACTACTTGATTGGTTGATGTCGTAAACAACACCCCTGACCCAAAATTTTTGATGAGAGTTAATCAAAATTTTCGGATAACGAGCAATAGCTTTTTGAGGAATATACGCCATACAGCATTTATAAGGCTAGTAATCACAACGAATTTCAGAAATAATAAGCATGTAAGTAAAGGCACACCAACCTTGAAGATACAAACCTCCCACATTCAGTTCTCAGTGTCCAATACAAAACATCTCTGTGATCCATTCGCTTTCAAATAGTTTTAAACTTTTCTGGACGGAATAGAAAACGCTTTTGCTCGACAAGCCTCCTTATCTGGTAGTATTTGATCACTGATGTCTACAGGTAAGAACTCAAGCATATTTAACGATAAAAGAGAAAAAATTGAAAAATCATAGTGTGATACTGTCCTTAGTCCTGAACAACATGTTAAGTTCCTCCTTAAATAGCCTCCGAAAACTCGCTTGGACTAGCTTAAGTGGCGGCTAGTTATAGCATTTGACTACTCGTAAAGAGTAAGTGAAGTGTTTACAGTCCTATGTTGTATCTTTCATTTCTGGGTGTTAAACCTAAAGTCTATGTTGGGGCTTGGCATAAGTAGGCGTTTAACAGGACGCTCAAGAGTGTTTGGGATTTTTTAAGCCATTGGAAGATCAACTCCGAGACACCTATACTGAAATGAGTAAAAGTTCAGTGATTTGAAGAGGTCTTCATAATTCTTGAATTTTGGTCCCCAAACTGATTTCGTGGCTCACCTTTGGATGTGTTCAATGCTTTGTTATCCTTCTGGAGTGATGGAGGAGGAACTTTATCTCCATATTCCGACTTATATACCTTTGTGGGAAAGTTACCTTAGTTCTATTTATAGTCTGTAATGTGTCTCGGACTAATTTACATTTTGAAGTGTTATAGGTAAGTTCGTTGTTATTTGCCCAACTTCGAAGTCGAGAGAGATTTTCCAAAAACGTCATCTTATCATCTCGATTGCAAATGTCTCCCAAAATTTTCAGATTGTCAGCGGAAAGTAATAAATTGGATGATACTTGCTAAGGACGGTCATTTGTGTAAATCAAAAGAGAGGTTGAAGTACTAAACCCTAAAGCACCACAAATGGACATTTCGCAACGCGTGAAAAAATGAGTAAAAAGGTAATTTCGGTCTATAGCATTCGATCTGCGCTAAGAAGGACTTGACCCACATGACATTTGTCACCACCCAGTGATCAGTCAATTGTGAATTCATCTCAGTCGTACAGGAGGTTGGTCGCCTCACGGATGGCTAAGTGGTGTCGTCTCTGACTGTGAATGAAGGCGACTCGGGATCGAATCCGTCAGGGAGCACCAGTTCCCTCAAGATCACAGGTACACCTTGCTGACAACCGCCAAGAAGCACGAAACTCAGGTCCATGGTTTCCTGTGGACTACCTCCAACCATCATCTAATCACAACGTGGTGCACTCAATGTCAAGTCATCTAGAATAGTGGCCACATTACAACTTGGTCGATAGCATTCGATCTGCACTAAGAAGGACTTGGAACACATGACATTGATCACCACCGAGTGACCAATCGATTGTGAAAAATGACTTTTTCATATTGATTATTCAGATACGACGTTAAGCAATCAATTAACGGTTACTTGTTACCTTGCATTTTGTGCTTATTGATGATGCATATATGATTGATATCACTATGGGGATTTGTGGACGTTGTAGTATTTTCACAATTGAATTCACGAAACTGCCATTTAGTGCTTTCAGGTTTCTATGGTGGTTTAGATTAGGTCGACTCGTGAATGCAATTATGAAAATTTATGATTGACCTCAAGGTATTGACTTCAAGGTATATGACATCAATCTTTCACTTGCGATCAAGGATGATTGTTCATCTGTCCAATGCAGTCAGCAAGTTAGTTAAACAAGAGTGAAGTTTTCTGAGACTAAGCTTCTAGGGTGAAAAAGAATTTATGGTTAGTAAGCAGTCGCGTAGACCGCCGCATATCAGGGGTCCCATAGTTTAGGAGGTTATTGTGATAAGTGCTACTGGCCCGTATCATGAAGGCTAGTTACGTTGACCTTCTTCGAAATATGGTGTGATGTGTGTCAACTTTCAATTTTACCATACAGTAATTTGATCTGGCGAGCACAAGAACACCACACTAGGCTATTTTGCCGATGGAGAAGCTTCTTCCCTCATTATTACAGAATGAACCGTGTACGGGCCAAGAGCAGTGTCCATGTTTGGACGCTACGGTTTCTGAGACACCAAATCAGGTTTACTTTTGATGGCCCTGTTGAGTTGCAGATGGAGTTCTCATCGATGTAGTTAGTAAATTACAGATGACATGCTTGAAGGTACTTTTCCGCTCATAGGTCAACGGCATCACCGTCGTCTGTGGTTGTGCCACTAGGATCTGACATTTGAGAAGCACTTCTTTTGTCATGCTGAAGGGAGGCTACATGAAGGTGTAACAGCATAAGTTGGTTGGTTAAGAGTTGACCCCAAACAACCAAGCATATGCCAAAACAGTATTGTTCAAGTATTCATTCACTTCCTTATTTTGTATAAGCGTTATATTCCTTATTATCTTATATTGAATGCTGAAAGCCTTTGTTTGTCTGAACAGATAATCCCACGCTCCACTGTGACTGCGCTAAGATCGAAATAAAGACGTACTCAATTATTGTCTGATTTCTTCTATCAATAACACGAGGGTTACCTATAGGCAAGAAATTGGTGAGCCCTTTTTGAACACAAATTAACCTCATTTTTGTTATTAATATTATTTTTTTTTACTCAATCGTAAAAGTAGACCTGATAATCCGTAAACTAAGTTGGGTATATAAGTAGTTTATTCTTTTTATTATCTTAAGTTATTCGTGTCATAGAAACCATTTTTTTTCGTGCTAATTTTATTGCTATATTTGTCACATACCTCATGTCAGACTTAAAAGAAACCCATAATCTGGAGGATTTGTCACCAGTGGAGATAGACACTGTTATGACTACGAAATCTCGACTTCCAGAATTTGATCGTAGTGATCCTGAGTTGTGGTTTGCTCAACTCGAGCATTATTTCACGAGACACAATATCAAATCTGAAGGGATT